AAAAACAAAATCGCGCGTCTATAAATTCGCAGCCCCGACTGACTGGCTGATTGAATACCAGTCGTACGTGTACGGAGAGATGGAGAAAAATCCACTTATCCCGGCAATACGAGCCGGATCGATTCCGAATACACGCCGGGAATTTATCGGTTTTTATTCATTCGGTCCTCCCGAGCACGTTCTGTTTATTTTCCGCGACTCGGTTGTCTTTGTTTTGGCGCGGCCGCTCGTCGGGAAATTTACGGCTTTTCTCGAAATCGTTACATATTTATCGAAGGTGGACAGAATGCGAATTATCCGAGATCGGCGAAAACTCGTGGGAAGGGTAATTTATGTTTTGCGGCAACAATTGGGGTCAATCATCCACTGAGAAATATAGGGTGATTCGTCAAATAAAGCGATTCATTTTTATAACGGCGCTAATTAGGGTAATTGAAGATTTTTCCGTCGGTTTTCCGATATTTCCGATTGATTTCCTCTCTCGACGCAAGTAGGTAAATAGCCACTCGAAGCGACCTCGATAAATTCTAATTTCTCTTCGGATTATTTCTGTAGGAATCGAAATCTATAACCTGTACACCTTTATCGGGCAGAATTAAAGTGTTTTATCGATTAATCTCGTTTCGATTATCTATCGGTTCGTGTGTCCCGGTTTCAGTAAAAGCCAGTTTAATACAATTAACCTTTATATTTTTAACGAAAAAAAAAACACAGTAGATAAGCGTAATGCAAGAGTCGCTTCATTTCGATACGAGAAATTAGCAACAATAGAATGTCACTTATTACATTTTTTTCTCACCGTTGCACAGTAGCGAATTAATCCGTTACATGATAGTAGAAATCATTAATTTCACGGTAAAATCTCCGCAGGACTCGACCAATCTTCACTCACAATCAATTTGCGCGAATGTTCATGCCATGTTAGTGAATATTTCGCATATTTCCAATGAGTCGCAAACTAAACTTTTTCCACAAACTACTCTAAATTACTTCCCGGAAGAGGGACGACTACCGAATTGATACCACTACTCTAGACCTATAATAAGTTATCGCAGGAAGGGCCTCACGGTCTAGTTATGCGGGGGTCTAGTTGCCGAGTTGTTAGATTATTTCGCAAATCGGAATCTTCCGGGCGACATTTAGTTCGGGGTCTATTTCCGAGCCCTTTAATATCGGATCTCATCGGGGGCGATTCGAAGTTCTGATGATCGAGCCGGGGTACAGTCGCCGCTGACGCACAAAGTTTTCACTTAATTTAAGTTGGTTAACAATGTTACGGGTTGATAATGAATTGTCTTTGAAATTCGTATAAGGCGTAAATTTATTATAGAGGAGGTATTTTACATATCATAAATATACACCACAATAGAGTAGCTATTAGTGTAGCTAAAATTGTTCTACAAGAAGTTTATACTGGGGTATTAAAAGCGACTTTTAACTACTCTAGGTGCAAGTGGAACGAGAGAATGTTTGCTTTAATAAAACATTGTAATGTTTACTGAAAGATCGGCTCCAAATTAGCATAACGCGAATGTAGCACGTAGAATGAATTTTGTTAACACCTTGTAGTCTATAATACGGCTACTGTTGGTCAAAATTTAATATTTAACTGAGGATAATAATGTGAATTCGAATTTTATGCTTACGATAGCGTAAAGAAATAGCTGGGACGTACAAAAATATAAATGATTGAATATTTATAGAAGGAAATCCGGTGGAAAACTATTCCGCTTTACGATGTATAGGAGATACAAAAATGCTGGGACCTTTCTTGAATCATTCTGCTTGGCAAGCATCACGTGGAAGTTATGCCTTTGATGTTCTTATATGTTTTATTAAAAATTCCCGGAAGAATCGAAACGACAAGATTTAATTCATTTCTCATACAAGACTATCGAACAATAAAAATAGTTTTACGAACCATCAATAACGAAAATTAATCAACGGAAAATTGTACCTGGCAACTGACGTTATATTCCCGGTAAACGAATTAGATTCTCGTGTTTTCCGTCCATTCGTTACATTTCAAACGCGATATATGTCCGCGTTTTTTCCCATTGCAAAATCCGACAACAAAAAAAAAGCACATTTCCCGATTGCCCGTCCGCACATGAGCACGAAAGCGACACGGAATGCACGCACGAGAAGAAGATGAAGAGAAAAAAAGCGAATTAATTTAGAAGAAACCCGGCGCCTTCTATACTCTCCAACCAGAGGAAAGATAATCTCCGGAGTCGACGGGGACAAATTGCGAGGCGTCGACGATGAACGGCCCTAATTCGGCAACGATTTAACGGAATTCACCCGATTTGATTTAGTGGGAATTTCTCTTTGTTCTTTGACCGTTACTCGGCGAACCTAAAGGGATATATCTAGTCCGCGCTTTATATAGAAACTGATGATACTGTGGATGAAGTGGCCTGTACCATTCGAATGCAAACTAAACTTAGATTTATTCACTTTATATTACCAAAAAGGTAACCATAAAATGCATGCTTCATTTTTAAATAATAGATATTACGAGTAAAAAAATTAAAGTGTTATATTTACTTCTTTTTGAGTCGGCTTTTATACAATTGCATTAATTCATTAGGTTTGAAATGCAGGAGCTTTTGTTAGCCGACGTTATATACAATTTACACCTCTGTATATAGCATTAGCCCTTTTATCACGGACGCGCGCCTTCAACACAATGCACTTGTAAGTAATTAGCAGCATTTAATGGCGGAATGGCTGGAATGAAACCTAATGCTCGTACGTAAATTCTAAATGCACGTTCCCGCATTTTCGACTATACAGGGTAGAAAGGCCGAATGGAATAAATTCATTATTTCGGTTAGTGAACATATTTAGGTATAGAAAATCCCGAAACACGTCAAATTTTAATTATAATTTGATATTCTTCAACGTCAAAATGTGAGATCTTCAACCCTCTTCGAATGACAGTTACAACCCCGATTTTTTTTAAATAGGAAGTATAGGCTTGTGATATATCGTTTGAAAGCATCTCGATCTTTATTCTCTATTCAAAACTGTTATTGTTTTTTCAAAAATTAACATAAAAAATCATCTGATGGCTTAAATTCGATATAATACACTCAGTATGTAATACCTAATTGTTCACAATGTAAAACAATATGAATCTCATCATCAAAACTGTTATTTTAAGCATTTCTGTTAATCTAGCCATTTTTCTTGATTGCAATTAACGAAATTCAAACAAAAATTATAACACTAACCACTAATCTCACGCAGTTTATAGTTGCAAACCAATTTGCTAAAGCCTTTTAAACAAACTAGTCTTATTATTAAGGCTAAAACGGGAAATAAGATTTTATTTTTTAATATTAACGTTTGAAATACACTGGAACACAATGACATTTTTGGATAGAGAATTCTTCTATTGGGCTGTTTAGTAATCGCTCTTTGATATCGTTTAACCAGCGATCGTTTAACGGATGAATCGACAGCGATCCGGAACTGCCCGGAGTTCACCGGTATAAAACGCAAAGGTATTTTCAATTCTCCTCCGCCTCCTTTCTCGTTCTCTTTTCCTTCGCTTTGTTGATAGATTCGGTCAAACGACCACGCGTGCATACGTACTTTTACACACACACACAACACACACCAGCCTATACACTATTGGATTTCAGCCTTGACGGTCTTTGTCCTCTCGACTATTTCTGCACAGAAACCAGTTTTCATCGTTTTAATAAATATATCCGTTGACCTCAAGTCTGCTGTGCTATGCTATTTTCGTTGGTTCTTGTCATTCACTAGTCGAGTACTTCATACGTCACAACGCGGATATTTAGTACTACCTACTTGGAGTAATTATATGATATCGTTCGATTTGTGCTTATGAAAATATTATTATATTGTTCTCTGCACGACATGGTTCCCTGACGTTGTGTCCCTGTAGAATAAGGGATAAGGGAGTGTCATTTTAAATTTTATAATAGGGGTGCGTTAGGTCATTCAAGGGGCGCAAGAGTGAGTCATTTTTTTATTCCCCTTTTGCATTATTTAACCAGGTTATTGACATCGTTTTTATAATTGCCACTTATCATTTACTTATAAAAGGTCTAAGAAACAGGAATGATCGTTCTTCTAAATTAACCCATTATGTTATAAATGGAATTCAGAATCCTTGATGTTATTTCGCGACGTTTTTAAACAGGCACCACAAAACAAAAAAACACCCAAGCGTTATTTTATCATTTTGTTGGGGGCGATAGGACTTCGCATAATTCACGAGTTTTTATAGCAATGTGTAACGGGAATTTGTTTGAGGACTCGCACGTAAATCTGTATAATATAGTAAAAAAAATATATAGCTTTTTACGGGAAAGTTCACGTAAATCAACGGAACAGGAATTTTCGAATTGTCGAATAGAACGATTCAATTTATTAACACGTCGAAACTTTTAATATGCAACACTAAAAACTGTGCGTATATACGGAATATATCGATGGATTCGTATTCGTATTGAATAAATCAGAGTTAAAATGATTTGTATATAGGAAAATGCATTCCTAAATTGTGGGAAAATTTATTTGAAAACAAAACATTATATTTATTTATATTTAGAATATCCACAACATTTCGCTGGCACAAATCCAGTATAAATGAGTGCCTTATTGTATTCGCCAAGTGCATCCAATTTCGCTAATTGCCCGCTAAAATTTCTGTTTAAACATAATGTACCATTATAAATATACCGACTATTTCCTTTACTACACGTATTCCACTAAACCAAACAAACGATTAAATTCGATTTATTTTCATATCGCAAACATTCGAATTTGTAATTATAAAATACTGTTTATTCTAACTTTGATTTCAATACAACCGATAACAAGTCAAATAAATGGTAATTATCGAAATGTAAATTATTTTGTGTAAGTACATCTCGCATCATTTCTATCTCAAATATCAATTATAAAATAGAGAAATAGTTATAAAAATTGCCAGATAATAATAAATTACAAGTACTTACATAATCGTCCAAAGGAGTGCGACAACCTTTTCTTGAATTTCTGCATGCGAGAGAGAGCGCCGCTTTTCTTCTCCCGCATCGTGACTCCTGATGTCGGCAGTCCCTGTAAGCCTGCAAACAAAAAAACCATTTCCATTAAACATTTATAATAATTCCAAAAAACGGAGAGTAATCCGATATCCGAGTCAATTTTATCGACAATAACAATTGTTCAGAAACCCGAAACAAACAAGAAACCACCACCGCAGCAGCGTTTAAAAGGGCTCTATTTGCACCAGTTGGGCACATGTGTGTCGCGATTGCTGCCGCAGATGTCCGTCCCGAGTGAGTTATGATTTCAGGAAACTGGAAGTAAACGATTATCGGTCGCCTCGACATTTCGACATATTGAATTCATATGTTCCCTGGCGAAACCCACGAGATTTCTATGCGATCATAAACGAAAACCTACCTCTTTTACTCGATCGAATAAAAGACATGAAGTTGATCCAAAATTCCGGTACTTTATAACAAAATGTAGTCATATTCAAAACACTGAACTAAGAAGATTTTGTATCACAATGTTTTGGAATAGATGCAATATTCCTAAACGACAGCAAATCGCTTACTGATAAGAACGTGATAAAAATACTATAAAATACAATGAGTAATGGTGATCAACAAATATTTATCTGAAATACCTCTTTGTTGAATCACCCTGTGTACGTTTAAAACTTCCCTGGGGGATATTTAATTACATTTTAAAATGCATTAACTATACATTCTTTTTCTAAAAATAAAACTGGTAATAAAATAAATTCTATTATTATCCCTCCCATCAGAATCGCGGGTCATAGATCTCTCTTATCAACTTTATCTTACGAGCCTCGTATCCACATATTTTCCTCCTTATCGGCCGCGATATATTTTTCCTTGTGGATATTTCATATGCAAGCGCAGCGATAATGAGCCGGAATAAGAACATAAATTACAAAAAAATAGGAAGCGATACTCCCTGACCTCGTTCTGTATATAAACAAACTCGATTAACAATTACCCCGTTTACGCGAATTATAATCGAGGAGTTAATTAGCTAATTAGCAGAAAGGGAGCAACAAATCGGCAACAAAGGTGAATTCGACTAATACAATGGCAGCGTTTCCCTTTTCGGATAAAACGGGTACGAGGAAAGCGAATTAAGATTGACAAATTACTTTAACCGAATTTATTCTGACGTTGTCTCAAAATCTAGCTCGATTGTGTTACGTAAATTGGAACGAAGGATGTAGTAATTCGTTTAAAAAAAAACGAGGGGGTCGATTGGCAAGTCGAATCCAATACGTTGGCGTTTTATTAATCGAATAATTTTTACTACATTAAATCCATTTTTGTCGTACACCCGGAGACTTTATCTACGATCTACCCCTACGGAATATAGCGACGTTGGAATTTCTTTTCATCAAAGACCTGCGCCATTCAAAGCCTGCGAGTTAATCAATCTATAAGCTTTAAGCAGTGACATGCACGTCACAAATCGCAAGAAAATGAGCTTTCGAAACTTATTGGGTATGTATCAGAGAAAGTTTTATGCGATTTGATAAAATTTTATTCAATCTCCCAAAGCGCAAAATTTTCCTATTCAACTCTAAACAAACGTTTATTCAATTAAAACTCAATATGTCGTGTACCTATACGAATACAACAAACAATTCGATTTTGATCTAGATAAACACATCAATTAGTACAATTAACCATATGTACGATGCGTATAGAGGAATTAATTGATTGTTTGTGTCATTAATAAAATTATTCAACTCTTTTGATAGTAATTGTGCGTTCATTAAAGTTTTTTTGCCGCGACTATACGAAACAAGAAGGCATTCACAGAGAACCCGGTGATTTTTATGGAGTATTAGGGTTTCATTCAAAGGGGGAACATTTTCATGCGAATGTACTTGATATCCTTTGAAATTACATACTTTTTCGAACAATTAACGAGCTTTAAATAATTCAATTACAGCTTGTGGAATCGTTAATTTTAATGGTTCGTTAAATCATGTAAGAAATACATTTGGGGTGGGATGTAAGTACTCTCAGAAAGGTAATTTTAAACGTTTTTTTTTTCGAATAAACTAAACACGTTTAAAAGCCTACCTCAAACTAATGAATTAATCATGGACGTTTTACAACAATGGTTTTAGTAAATTGAAATTGAACACAAAGACCAATAAATTTTTGAAGCCGTAAATAGTTCATTAGCGAAAAATACTTAGAATGCTTCCATTGTGTTCACTGAGAAAAAAAATTAAAATAGTTATAGCGACCAATAAAAATATTTATTATTTACACATTTTTCAGCGCTTGTTGTTTAATTAAAATCAGCCGAATTGATTTCGAAAAAATCCCTCCCGGTTTTTCTAACAGTCATAAAGACAAAACGTTGCCCGAAAAAGAACCCGCGATACCGTCATTGCTAATAATATTTTCGCAATTTACATAGCCAAATGGAATAACAAACTGAAACATTGTTTATCGAGAGAGCGAGGAATTGTTAAATTATTTCCCAATGACTCAAGCCGGTACAATATACAAGACGATTTACTTAATAAGGAATTGAACGGATGTGTGTTAAATAGCAATTATAATAATAATAAATTCGTAACTGCACTGAGCAGTGTATAAAGAGTTACAATAATTTTGAACGGCATTGTATCTAAGCGTGTAATAGACAGCTGTACACCAAATGAAGCAAAATTTCAAGAGGATTCCATAGAACATATAATACACACAAAGAACATTGCAGAACAACACATCAAAGACTAAAAACACCTGTTGGTAGATTGAACAGCTGGCGACTGGTTTGGGATCATCTTCAGGTAGGTATAACATTCGATTGAATTTGGTAAAATTTTTCAAATTCTCTTTTATAGGCACCAGCAATCTTCCAAACAGAATGAAAACGTTCACAGTTCGCACTACAAGCTCAAATGGCTGATCGATCCATTTTAATATTAGGTACATTGTTTTTCCATTGGAAATAATTTACTACACCTTTATCGATTTGTTCAAAAAATACGATTACGATACAAAAGATTTTAAAATAATTACAGCGACCATTTTAAGAATTCCACGCAACTTTGCTATTAATGCAAATTACGAAAAAAGACATTAAACGAAAGCGACGAAAATAAAATAAGCAGTTAAAACACGTAAGGGTAAATATCATTTCTTATCGTTTCGCTGCACTAAAAAGATTGCGAAATTCGATAAAACTTTTAATGAAAAGTCCACACATTAAATGACGTTTATTTAATTAAAACAGACACATAAAGATTCCTACAACCCATACGCCAGTATGGAATACTCCTTACACAACAAACTATACAAATCGATAGGAATAAAAAAATTAATCGTTGTAAGTGGGCTCTCCATTTCTCATTATCTATGGATCGATTTATACCGAAATACAAATTCCGGGGGAAAATAAACAACCTAATAAACCTGACAAAGCACCCCATCAATGCTACAAGGCACATCCGACACATAAAAAGATGTCATTATCATTCAGCTCCACACTAGGAATATATAATATTATGACGAATCACAGGTATATATAGGTATTTAAATGTAAATAATATTACCGAAGGTACGCTTAAAATACAAAACGAACTTCCGTTGGTGAGCCGAGGAAATTTGTGTAACCTATACACACCCCATAACAACGGATTTTAATAAATTAAACCGCCCACTCACCTTGCACTTGCCAGGATTTTCTCTTGGTAAACATTTTTTTGGTAAACATTATTCAATTCGAGCACTTAAACTGATTAGAGTAACGAAACGGAATTTCCCGAAAAAAAATTCTGCCGACGCGAAATTAAACGTCTATTTAATTACAATCCATTAGAATAATTGGCGCACGCGAAACATAGTAAATAAATGCAATATGTTTCAGGTTCACTCGACTTTGCGAACGATTTTAGAATACCTGTTGTTGGTGAAAAAGCGGCCAATTAATTAATTATTAAAAATTAACGTGATGATGAATGGATCGAAAATTATTATGTGATTAATAAGAGAAAAAAATTGTTATGAATAATTAAATACTATTCTGATTTGCAATGATTTCGACTAAATGACATATCGAAAAAATATTAGCCATTAACCAATCTACATCAACCTGCTGTGTATCTATTTTTTTATTTTAACACACGTATGGAAGAAAAATTTTCGAAAAATTTCTGCTCGTTATTATCGAAGATAAGAACTCTAATTGAAGAAAACGAACGTCATGTAAAAACACTCATGGGTAGAAAATTCGATCGATAAATATTTTTCCAGCATCATTTATTAGTAGATTCGTCGATTTTCTCTATGGGATTTTTATTAGATACAAATAAAATGCTAAACGTTTCTCTTTGCCATTCAACAAAGGAAAGTGTGACAGCCTTTCAAGGACGTATCCGAGAATAGTAAAGCGTTTTCTTATTTATTAAATTCTAATTAACAGAAAAAATCGATACTTTCTTAATTTGTATACAAGTACACCTACTTATGTAAGTAAAACGATGGAATTGAATTAAAAGTATACATATTTCCGGTTATTAAGATAGGAATCTTTATAATTTACTAAAGCAATAAATACGGCTTGTACCTAATAATTAGTTGGAGAATAAATTTCAACTACATGCATTTATACAGACGGATGATATCATTTTTTTTATTTATTCAATTGTTTATTTATTTATTTCGGATCACAACAGGATGGAAACGTTGATTAACAGAGATGAAATATTTCTGTTTGAATATATTTTCATCGGTAGGCGCTATTTTATAATAATCCATTACGAAATTCATGTACTATGTGTTATTTTCAATACACCTACATACGTTGAGTAAACGTTTACAAATCGCTTTTCTTCTATCTTTAACCCGATGTATTTCCATTTATACCATTGCAATGTAAAACTTGGATTGTATCATGTTATAGTCTAATAATTTAAGTTATTGTTATGGGTATTTTATAAAAAAATCACACTCTGTTTCATTAGTAGGTATATTATTAGATAACTAATTTATTTTTTATTTATTGATTTTAATAATTACATCACAACTCATTTTTGAGGACTGGAAAGTAATTTTGTAACAAAAGTAATGAATTCAATTACCTCTATGTGATTCATACAGTAGCATTGAGATTGTTTTAATAAAAAAATAAACTACATTAAATATATGCATTCAGTATAAGATAACTAAATAATTGGCTTACATTTTTTTTATTTTTAACTTATTGTGTAAATAAAGTATCGGAATACGTTCTCCGAAGATTAGTATTCGTCAATAATGGACTTTGTTTTGACTAACAAACTCCTTAGAATTTTGATAATTTTAAACCAGTCGTTAAAAAATCGAAGAACGGTTATTATATAAGGAGTTCTAATGAAAACGACCATCAAAAATACGTAATTTTTTTCATTAAAATTTAAAAGTTAATCGTTAAAAGTCCTTTCCTGTCGATGAATTATCGATTTGAAAGTTAAAATAGTAACAATAAATACGAATGACCATGATATTTAAGATAACGCTTGGCAATTTTAGAAAATTGTAATGTAAATATACATATTCTTATCCAATATTTATTTTTATTAATAAATCATCCGGATTAAATGTGCCACAGAAATATGCGCTGCTGGCCAATTAACATTCACAATTAGACTTTTAAAGAGGCTATTTATAGAAACAACAATACGAATACATAAAACATCAAGTATTTACCTTTGATATCCAACTTCTCGTCCTTCGAAAACGAATCAAAAAGTCGAACGAAACAGGCCGATTCCTCGATGATATCGTACAAAAAAAAACAACAGTTTCTCTTCTAAACGTATCGCATGATCGCCACCCAATATCGAGCAAATTACCATACGAAACTACACCCTTTCAGCACAACCAAACAACAACAACAACGCCACACTATAACTCGATTAAAATCCATCAAGAAAATTAGCTAGCGAAAATGGAAGAAACCCGACACTACAACGTTAACAACAAACACACACCATCATTATCAATGGGTAAAACGTTACTCATACTCGCACACCAACCGCATTACGACTGGTCGATGTTCAATGTAGATATTTCAAACGTTACTCGACGTTTCACGTTCCAATACGCAAACCGTGCTTGAATGAAAAACGTTTCGAAATCACCAAACCCGAACACAAGAGCGTTCGAATCGCCGACTGTCGAAGACACACTGGTTATCGGTCGCCCTACCGGGCATAAACCCGGTTGAAAAAGGGGGCGCGCAAGGCAAAACAACCCCCGATATTTCGGTGCGTGGGCGAACCGAGAACCAGACCTGGGGGATATACACGCCGGAGAGGTTTCCTCTGCGAGAGCACGCGGGGATTCCGCGGATGTGTTGCCGGAGGGGGCGTGAAAATACGCGTAAAAGAGGCGACGAATGCACCTGTGGCGGGTTCGGATAATGGCGGTAATGCCTCCGGGCGCTCCGCAACAGCCCCGTTTAGCGCTTTCGCGGAGGGCGAGGATGAATGTATGGAGGAGGGAAAAATCAAATGGGAATCAAATCGGTCGCCGTATGATGTACGATGAATTTTTTATGATTTTTTTAACGCGCTGAATACACAGAGACACCACAGGGACGAGTATCAAGCAATTTTATAGGGATGTTATGCATACAGGGAGTTCCAAAAAAAACTGAGCACCCCGATTAACATTTCGATGATTGAATCCTACTCCTTAAGCTTAATAAATAAATCACCTCTATAAGAAACTACAGCAGATAATTCTGATCCACTATAATCCCTAAATTACACCCCTTAGGCATAAACAAAAACCAATTTCTCAATAACCATAATCATTACAATACAACACACTTTATTTTTTCCGCTCATATGCCTTGCATAAATCCAATATATTCCATCATCCCCATAACAGAAAGAGAAAATCCGGAAACATCTTGTAAAGAGCTGATTTCGGAGAAAGTGTAACTTACATTAATATATTCACCCCGGATTCGTCCCTCCCCTAACAAATTTCGAAATTGTTTCCATCAACGTTTTGGAGTAGGTGCGATATTTCAGCATAGACAACAGCCGACTCTGGGGGGGAATATGCGGCAGCTTCGCGACTATAAATTTAATGAATTTCCAGAGGGGTTGATGGTCAAACGGGGGAGGATTATACGCGAGGAACGTCTTATAATTAAAATTTCTTCGTGTTACCATAACGCAATTTTTATCTCTCGCCTGAAAACCCGAAATTAAAACGAATTTGCGCGCATTTTCGTTATCTAACGTCGCTTATTCGAGATTAGGTAATACTTTAATAATACTGTTATTAATAGTTTTGTTTATATCAATCGATATTAGAGGCTACTGTATACGATATTAAAAACGAAACGAGTTTATTTTGAAAATTTAAATGGGCTATACAGCCATCATTTTATACACTTTTTATCGACCCGCTCCCTTCTAAATTGAACGGGAATTTCCAACGTTTTGACGTAAATCAAAAAACTTCAACAATGAAATTTCCAAAGGAGATTCCCCGTCTCTAACCGGGAGAAAAAAAGCTTTATTTTTACGTTCGCTAAGGAAATACCGGGAGAGATTCCCGCTTTTGCATAGCGGGAGGCGGGAGAGGCGGCGCTATTACCGTTTACCCGCGAACCGCAGGTAAAGAGGACGAAGGTCTTTAGGACCCTGTAATGGTGCGTAAAGATTTATAGTTCCAAGTTATATGAGGATCAAGTGCCTAAAACTTGATCCATTATATATTGTGCAGGCACAAAAGCATCCTGCAGGCAGGATACGGCGCTTTTATTCACACTTTTACAGATGTTTTTTCGATGATTCATGCGGAATTTGACGCGGTATCTTCAAGTTAAGTTGTGGAAAAAAAATCGTGTACCGGGCGAGTTCGGTAATTATTGTATAAGGGACCCACGCTTTGTTCAATCGAACTACACATGTTACATTGCTTGCATGTTGATGGAATTGACGTCAACAATGCATGTGGAGGACACATTTTACGGCTTTGTGAATTGAATTCCGTGAATAATTCTTTAAGTGGCCTATTAAGTAAATGTCCAGATGGCTTCTATTTTTGCTGCCGCATCCTCTCGATATGTTTTCAAAGCGCAATGTAAATTTAGCAGTCGATGAAGATGATCATCTGGACCATCATATATCGCCGCAGATGAAGTGAAAGTGGAAAAATAATTAAAATGATATTGCAGTTTCTATTCGAGTTATTAGTTTTATGGCATATGTAGGTTTAATATACGATAAAAAATTAATTACTTAGAAAGTATTGTACTAATAAATTATGTAATTTAATTATTATTACTTATAGTAACTGCAGTTGTGGAAATATATTAATTTATGTCCACAATTGCACAATAAATTAAACTTGATATTCATATAGGAAAATTTGCTGATAAATCTATTGAAATTATCATTGGCTAAAAAAAATGGAAAAAAAATCCACGTAATAGGTATCAAAATGTACAGTTAATTATAATAAAATAACCTAATCAACGTTCTTGTCGTCCGCAAGGCTATTATTTGTCAACGTAAAGTTGCAATTTAACTGCGCTGTTATACCATCTCATCTAATTTTCTCTCCAATTTCCAAAGAAATAGGACTTTCCGCCGAAGGAGTTAGAGAAGTTTTATAATTCAAAATGAGCTAACAAAATACAGTGGCGTATCCACAAAACATTCTCAAGTTTTAGCTGATTATTTCAGGTGATTGTGTTTGTAGTATAATAGAGAAAAAAATGACTAATGATAATGATAAACTTATCTGATAACCGATTTTAAATGTAGCAAGCTTGTAGGAAATTTATAATTTTTTTTTACTTCATCAAACAAAGTTTCTCTGCCACTGGATAAAGGGTGTTCTTTTTTGGAAACTATCCAAGAAAATAGAATTCCGTAATCAAGATCATAATTTAAATATTCAAAGGAACTTTCTCTGTGCAAATATCCGAAATAATATCCACATCAAACGTTTTTATGGATATAAAAGACGTAAAAGAATAATGCGTAAAGTAACAGAAAAAATTGGAGAAATGAATGAAAATAATTTGTACTGGATGTCACACAAAAAATGTTTCAATCATGTTTCTCTAACAATTTATTAATTATTAATTAAAAAGAAAAATGTATAGATTAAAAATGTACAGTTAAGTATCCTAGAACATGAAACAATACTTAAATTTATGTAAATTCAACTCAACTTCAAGAATCTAGTAAAATGTACTGCATAATATTCCAAATAGAACTGCAGCAATTAAGTAGAGCATAAAAAATATTCGAATGAATCGATCTTGTACGAAATAAAACACAATAAGCAGGAAAACCTTCGACTAATTTAACTCCGATTTTTTTTTACTATTTTTTAATTGGAAGGCGAGTTAAATTTACACGTAAAGTTTCTTCTTTTAATTTCCTGCTCTGTGAAACCGAGTAAGTACGTTGGTTGTATCGATGATTTGGCGTTATTTCGGAAGGAAAATGCATTAATCGACAAACGGTAGCACCGAACTTCGGGTTAATTAGTTGCTCGAAGCTATAAAAACTTATAAACTTACCATTATTCGCAATGTTAGCCTGCGTGCTGGTTGCACCATTGTAGAAATCTTCAATTTTTTTCGCGGAAAGTGAACACGATTGGTACATAATCACACGCGTATTTTTCAATATAGAGTTATTCTCACCGAATTAGTATCGACATTATTGTTAATAAATAGCTTTTAGAGCTGTTTTTCACCGAAACGCGAAGAGCACTACTAATCTAAATCGGCCATATTACTTTGTTTGTTTGATTTTTATATTACAGATGTCGCTTTAATCAAAACATCAACGTACAAACGAACGACCCTCAACTGGTCGAAAAACTGAATAATAAAAGGCCATATTTTGAAAAGTCAAAACCAGCTGTTTGTCAATTGCCAGAATTCCTCTAAAATTGTTTTGAAAATTTTTAAATGACGACGTGTCGTGTCTGATATATCTGTAAATAATTAATTGCTGAATAAAATGAGTCGCAAAGATAGTACAATATTAAACCCGGAACCAAATGCACCAAGAATAAACATTTTGTGCTTAGATATAAGTGAATCTAGTAAAACAGTGCAATTTGTTCTTTGCACTTGTACAGTGTTTGTATTTTTCCTTTTATATGGATATATGCAAGAGTTAATATTCACTGTAGAAGGCTCTAAACGTTACGGGTGGTTTTTAACACTCGTACAGTTCGGTTTTTACATTATATTCGGTCTTGTCGAGGTTAATATAAGGAAAATTGGCCCTCGAAAGTATGTATACAATGAACCTCAATAACCAGTTATGTTGCTCCCTTATTGACTAAAATGTTTTTTAGGATACCACTTAAAACATATTCCTTACTAGCTTTATTAACGTTGGGAACAATGGGATTTTCAAACGCCTCATTAGGCTACTTGAATTACCCCACGCAAGTTATATTTAAATGCTGTAAACTTATTCCAGTGTTGATCGGTGGTATTTTGATACAAGGGAAGCGGTACGGACCGTTGGATTTTCTAGCAGCTCTCTTAATGTGCATCGGGTTAACTTTATTTACTTTGGGTTGGTGTATAATAGAAATATTTGTATTGAGTTGTAATTGAATTGTTTTCTAGCCGATTCTAAAGTGCAGCCGAATTTTAATACCACTGGTATAGCGATGATTTCAATGGCATTGTTGTGTGATGCGATAATAGGAAACGTTCAGGAAAAGTCTATGAAAAATTACGGAGCTGCCAATGCCGAAGTAGTTCTATATTCATATGGAATAGGGTTTTTGTATATTTTCGTAGTAATGTTGTTATCCGGAGATTTCAGCGATGGCATTAACTTTTATTCTCAGGTATGAAATGGGTTATTTATCGACTGTTTTATACGCAGGATTTTGTTCCAGAATCCCAAGAAGATGTACGGATACGCGTTCCTATTTTCCATAACCGGATATTTGGGTATACAAATCGTTTTGACTCTAGTAAGAACAACAGGAGCTTTTGCTGCAGTTACTGTTACTACTTGTCGAAAAGCTGTTACAATAATTATATCGTTCGTTTTATTTAACAAGCCATTCATTTTCCAGTAAGTTATTTTACAAGTTCATTATACAATTTTTCACGAATATATTTTTTTCAGATATGCCTGGTCTGGTCTCATCGTAGTGATTGGAATTTACTTAAATTTAATGAGCAAAAGACATCCCGTTTCGATGGCGGATTTCGAGAGTAAATTCGAATCTGTGTATAGATTCGTACGATCCAAATTTATAGCCAGCAGTTATAAAAGCGGACATTATTTAACGGAAGTGTAATTGTGTGATAAGTGTATCTGTGATGATTAAATTTTTTTTAATTGATATATTGTTGGTGTTAATCGAGATACTTTATTGACTCATTCTCTAATTTTTACATAAACGAAGTTTTAACTTTTACAATGTTTACCTGAGAAAATATATATTCACTTTACAATCTGTATATTAAGTAATCAATTATTTTCTCTACAATACGATTATGCTAATATAATCATAATAATTACACAATACAAAAACTTTAATACTTTAATAACAAAATGTAGGTACAGTTACTGGCATAAGTTTCAACATCTATTAGTGAAAGAGAAACTAATTAAGTGAACAAAACATGATATAAACTATAAAAATGTCTATTAAGAGCATCCAAATGCATTCGATACAAATAAAAAATCAATACAAAATTTATATATCGCGCCAATATACCGATTGTTTCAATCCAGATCGCAACATGGTCGATTCTATGAGTTGAACAAAGAAAGATTAATAAAATTACAGTTGTTAGAGTGAAAGGGTGCAATTACACAAATGTCACTCTTTCTTTTTCCTTTATAGGTGTCTAATAGAAGTTGTCTTTATCGTACCTACAGCCTATGTTGCGATCTGGAATGAAGCACAATGTATATTTATATCGGTAACAAAATTTATTGCAAATATATTAGATTCTTTAGTTATATTTCAAATGTATATTGAACGATATTAATCCAATCAAACCGATTTCAAATACTCCTTAATAGCGGCCGAATCTCTCTTCAACCAATTCGTATTCAATCGAATCGTTTCGATCGATTGCTGTACGGTCCTCTCCGTACCGGGCGGCTTGTGCTCCTCGAAGAACGCCTCCACCTCCTTCGCCCGCTCCTCCGTCGTGAAATTCTCCGTCAAATACTTCACCAATCTCGTCAGCAAGTACCCGCTGTACCGCTCCTTGATCACCGCCCAATTGTCCTTGAAGTACTGCCAGGCCACCTCTCGCCCCGAGCTGCTCAAACCCACCGATGCAATCACAAACACCGTATCCTGAGACCTCACTTCATCCTAAAAAACAACAAACATTGACAATCCTGATGAGGATACTCTAATGGTAACACTGAGAGGTCTTGGGTACTTACAGACATGGCGAAATCGAGCACTTTCTTCAGCAATTCCTGATCTTTGGCGGCGCCCAGCGCGCGACTGATCCGGTCCTTCTCCTCGTGCAAATCGCTCGATCTGTACAACTTCAACAGGGTGTCGTATTCGTCCTGGCCGCCGGCCCGCAGGACCGTCTTGTAGCAGGCGCTGCGCAAATCGGCAGGCAACACGTCCGAGCCGCTGATGTGGCTGGCGAACCTCGTCCTGGCCTCGCCGATCGAATGATCCTCGTCCAACCAGGCCAGCCTGCCCAGCACCAAACCTCTCAGCAACGTGTCCAAGTGAGTTTCACCAGGCTTTTGGGTCCATCCCAGTTTCTTGTACACTTTGCTCAGCAGTTTCTTCTGGTACTGCAAACGTAAATGATATAAAAATAAACGAATTGGTGAGTTGATTGTGGTTTTACTTTATCGTAGCTGTCTTTGTATTCGGTTTGGCCGAGCAATTGTCCCAATCTGCCCAAAATGTTGTTGATGGAACACCAAACGTTGTAATCGGGCTCGTCTTCGAACGCTTGAAGTATTTTCAACACCTCCACTGTACTAGTGTGACCGGCTTTCACCATAGCGAATAGATCGTCCAAAAGTCCCAACCTGCATAGCAACATTAAAGCATTTCCAACATAATATCTACAAACTTACCTATCCAAAGGCGCCAAAGATCGATCCCGAATGGCCGGTACCAGTTTCTCCAACATCTCCGGGGAGTACTGGGTCCTGTAGAAACCGATCGTGCCCGGATTGAGTTTGATCCAATCCTTGGGGGAAATGTCTGGTACGACTATTTCGCCGGTGCGAGTCGTCAAAACGGTACTGACGACTTCTTTGGATGGATTCTTCGAGGTAGATACTGAAATGGGAATCATCCACAGGTAATCTTCGTCGGTGGGCTTCGAACCGTCCGCCGTGAACTTCGATTGCGTCAGAGTCAACGTGTTGGTGGTACCTTGGCTTTTCAAAGCCACTCTAACGACGGGGAAACCCTTCTGTTTGGTCCACGTCGACATCACGTCCTTCACCGGCTTCTTGCTGGCCTCTTCCAGAGCGGCCCACAGGTCCTCGGTGAAGGTGTTTTTGTACTGGTGCCTCGTTAAGTACAGGTGCATGCCCTTCCTGAAGTCCTCGTCGCCGATGTAGTGATGTAACATTCTGATCACCGACGCGCCCTTGTTGTAGCTGATATCGTCGAATATTTCGTCGATCTCCGACGGATTGCCCACGGGCACTTCGATCGGATGCGAGTTCTTCAAGCTGTCCAATTCCAAGGCTTTGATGTAGCAATCGTTGAGGAACTGCGACCAAATGTCGTATTCGGGAAAGAGGAAATTGACGCAGAGGAATTCCACGAACGAGGCGTAACCTTCGTTGAGCCAAAGGTGCGTCCACCATTCCATGGTGACCAAATTACCGAACCATTGATGGGCCAATTCGTGGCCCACTACTAGAGCTATCCATTGTTTGCTGTGGGCCGATGTGTTTTGGGGATCCACCAGCAAGCAAGTTTCCCTTTAATAGTACAAAATTCATTATTATACTATCGTAGAAATTATTATTTAGAGACACTAACCTGTAGGTAACTAGACCCCAATTCTCCATGGCGCCCGCGCTGAAATCCGCAATGGCTATCAAATCGATCTTGGGCAACGGATAGGCGATGTTGAAGTACTCTTTGTAATAGGGCAGTACTTTCGTGGCGACTTCCAGGGCGAATTTCCCTTGTTCTTTCTTCCCTTTAGGCGTGTACACTCTCACCAACACACCATCGCTCGATTTATCTTCAACGTAATCGTATTCACCAATCACCGCTGCTACTAAATAAGTAGACATGATGGGGGTCTTCTCGAAATCGTACTTGACGAGATTGCCGAGCGGTTGGCTCGTTTTCACAGGCATGTTCGACAGAGCCACCAAATCCTTGGGTACCGTTAGATTGATATCGAACGTGGCTTTCAAAGCCGGCTCGTCCCAACAGGGAAAACAACGACGCGCGTCGGTAGATTCGAATTGCGTCACGGCGGCGTATCGCTCTTCACCCGTTTGGTTCACATATTTACTCCTACAAATACAAAAAATAACACTTTTACTAGATTTATTTCCAACCTGGCAACACCGCTCGCACCAACGCCCTATCCACCCCGAACCCACGCATACGTAAAGCAACGAGCGGCGTTGCCAAGTCGCGAATATGATTAGTAATTACCTGTAGAGCCCCTTCATTTTGTCGTTGATTTCGCCGGTAAAGGCGATATCCAAGGTGTACGTGCCGGCCGCGATGACCGTGGGGAATTTGATGTTGGCCGTTTCCTCGTCGGGACACAGCTCCACTTTCTCGGCGCTCACCAATTTGTCGCCTCTCAGGCTGACCCGCTCTAATTTTAAGTCTAAAGCGTTAAGTACAATGGTATCGGTATTTTTCACAACCTGCAACAAAACGGGATGTATATTTTTCATTGAAATTGTAAGCGAATTATGTATTCATACTATATACAGTTTTTATTCGCTAATAAAGCATGCCAGCGGGACGTGAATCGCAGTTAAAACGTCTCTTTTCGGCGCTTCGAAAGCCTTTTCGAATGAACTTAGATGAAAGAAAATGCTCTACGCTGGATGTAGCTTTGATTTATTCATAGTAACTCGCACCAATTATAACGTAATTCGTTTGAATTGGTCACGGGTAACAATCGCATTAACCTTTAATCGACGATCGCAACGTTCGAAAGGTTTTCTCCAACGCGAATGCATCGTTTAATAATCGCCGGTGCGTGTTATAATAAACGTATAATTATCGATACACCTACAAAATCGCTTATTAACGGCGTTACTGCCAATCCTTATCGTTTCATCACAACTATTTAATATTCCAATAGTCTTCAAACAGTGATTAATTTATTATCGAGCGAATGTAATAGGAAAATTAACATTGTAACAATTCGAAATTAAGGAAACTTTTGCAGCTCGAGAAATGAAATGCCCGTTATTTTCTGCATCACGTGCTAGGATAAAATAACAAACACACATTGCAATATCTATGTAAATACGAAACGCGCCCGTAAAAGTTTAGTGTATCGAGTATTTATTAATAAGGTAAGTAATAATTAACAATTATCTAGGTAAGGTTCACTTTCTTTGCGAGCGCCTTGCCTCTATGTTAATTCAATTCGACGAGTATTGTTCAAGGAAAAACCGTTTCTTTTTTTCTCTCATATAGTATTACGTAAAGGGATCGAAAAATTAGACTGGGCGTCCAATCAAATACATACTTCATTCGTTTCGAATTCCACATCGAACGGTAGGAAGGGAATTTAAATTACATTCTTATCTGTGAAATTTATTCCACTCCAGAAACACCTTTGTTTGATGATTTAATTGCTGTATTTACCTTGTGTTTTAGAGAACAATCACGATTTTATCAATTAAGTATTTGAATTAGTTACACATATTTCAAGCTTAAAAAAAATATTGATGAAACCCTTCTTCAAAATCTACTAAACGATTAAATATATTCGTTCGATCAATATATCGAGCAAACGTTTATTACATAGGTATGTAATATTATTGCATAAAGTATGCGAGATAAAGCAAATTTTCATGGAAATGGGAAAATTGTGGAAATGTACTCGAATAAATAAAAAAATGGGTAAACAAATGATCATGTAAGTTAGATACTATTAAACTATACAGGGTGTCGCAAAAAAATGGGACCATAGCTTAACTACACACTAAATAAGTTACAAGTTATTAAAGTTAAAAATATAAAAGATTTTTTGATATTGAGCCAGAATGACTAGTCTTTTTCATGAAAATTTGCACAGAATGTCTTTGGTTAGAAGTCTGTAGTTAAGCCATGTTCCAACTTTTAGCGACACCCTGTATATTGATAATTTTATCATCGTTTCAATAAAAGATTTATCGGACACTGCAGTGATACAGATATCTACAAGTACTAGTATTGCCTCTTTATTACTTTATTTAGTACTTTTTGGTTGCATAAAACTTAAAAACAATACCAGTATCCAGAAAAATCAAAAACTGCCGTATAATCGCTTGAATTATATCAAAGCAAAGGGGGTTGTCGCTTCGATGACTCACCCTGTATAGTCCCAATTTCGCATCGTAAGCGTGAGTAAAGTCGAAGCGTCAATACGAAAAAAAAACACCGGCATATGGTGAAAAAAGAAATCGACCTACCTCAATTTCGATAGCGACATCTCCGCTGAACGTGAGCGCCTTCAAATCGGGCACGAGGGACAGCCGATAGTGGATGGGCCTCACGTTTTTCGGCAGCCTCTCGAACGGTTTTCCTTCCGGCATTTTCCTGCTGTTCTCGTTCTCGTTCTCGACCACCGTGTATCGTCCTCTGCTGTCGCTGCTGGCGTATCTGCGGCTCGTCCACTCGCTGCGCTGACGTCGCCCCACTGACACAACGACCGATTGCGTTAGGCGCAGGCGATCGGAGCGACGACTCTTGTTGAAGGGGACAGGGCCAGGGACGTTCGTACTTCGCTTTCCTAACGGTACTTTCACGGCGTTCCAGCGCCGGCTCTCGCAACAGCCGAGATTATTCGTTACGCTTAGCGGATTGTTTCGTCTCGACGCTTGTAGAAATACCTTGGCGATCTTGTGTGACAGTGACATTAGAAATTTCAGACACGCGGTACTGTTTTCTGTTTTGCGGCAAAAAATATTTATACACTTATGGGCGTTCGATTGGTCGCGTTTTTTACGCTCCGTCGCGTGATTGGTTGGAATTTGACAGGTGCACGTTTCAAAAATTCGTGCAGTCATCGAATCGTCTATCCCTTTTTAGCTTACCCATGTAACACGAGAGAGTAGATTGATCGCGATCACTAATCGCATTGCCTACGTATAGGCAACCAGTATTACATAAAAAATAAAATTTGTTAGACAAACTACTCTCTCACTCGTAAAGGTGTTTAACTAATAAAAGCTCGTTGTTTAAAAATTTATTCCAAATAAACGATACCAAAAAAAAATCATGGACAATTCTACGATTTCTTAAAAAAATCGAAACTACATAATAAACATTCACAAATAGTCAGTAATTAGCAAATGGTGAAAAGTGCTGTTGTAAAATAAATTTGAAGCAATCGCGCTGACTTGTTCTCAATGTAAAATGTTCTAAACTCAAACTACTAAAAAAAAGAAACGAAATAACCCTAGTATTAACCCTATATATTATTCTAACGACCGGTTCCAGAAAAGAATCAATTCAACATTACAGCTTGAAGTTTTGGACAAATCATGAAGATAATGGTCTGAATAGCTCGATAAAAAGTATCAATTTATTTCTGAAACCGGAAGAAACGTTTACAAAATGAATCCAACCAGCAAATGATTTGATTTATTGGTTGCTTTAATAATCTGGTTATGGTTTAAACATATATCAGACATTCAAATACATAGCGGGGTACTCAGGATTTTGAGTTTATTGCGCTTGTATTTAGCGTATTGAACTCAAAACCCGCGAGTACCCGAATGTGAACAATTTAATAACACTGATATATTTTTTTTTCTCTAGTCAATTTTTTGAAAACTGTAGGTCTGCTGCTTATGAAGGAAATCAATCTGTGAATTCCCTACAAACAAATTTAATAAATAATAATCGGAGTTTCAATTCTGAAAAAAAAAATGGTTATATCAGTGTAATTACGAATTCTCAATGCCTTTATAACACAGATTTACTACTTAATCCACCTTTTGAACATTTATATTTTATACACACAACATTCGATGGATGTATTTTAATTAATAATCACTTTTCCATTTTTAATTTTGTATTTTTTTTTTATGAATTTTCGAGGAAAGATTTAGTCGCAATTTTAAATAAATTCGTTAAGAAAACACAAAAATAAAGTTCGACATAGCATAAAATATATTATTTCGCGTTTTATTTAACGAATTTACTTCAAAACCACTGGTACATAAAATTGATTACTTTCCTTTATAAGTAAGTTAAAGTTAAAGAAAAGCAACTGGAAAGAAGTTTATAGTAAATTTGATAAAATATATACCCACTCGTACGGATTAAAAATATTCATGCACATTGACTAAAAATGTAAATTTAATAATTTGCATTGACTAGTAGAAATTCAAAAAAATCTAAAGTTATTTGAAATTTTTGTTAAGGAGATATAAATTTTATACAATAAAGAATGGGTATCTTATAGTAATCATAGTACAGACCAAATAGAATAATCAAAATTACATAAAACAATAAATCAAAAGATAGAGACTTTAGAAGCAAAGAGAAAGGTAAGATGAAAGATAAGTAATAAACCCAAAATAATATTTTGTAGAAAGTGAAAGATTACCTTTTGTTTTAAATAAACTTCATTTTGACACTTTTTTCCGTCACCACGACAGAAGTATTATTTGATTTTTTTTATTTTATTTTTGCCAACTCTGACAATACCTTGGACAACAAAATAAAAAGCAGCATTTATTTAAAGACTTTGCTAAGTTCCAAACAGCAAAGTTTTACTGGCTTTGCAAAATCCATTTGTAGATTTTTTTTTTTCGATTTTGATAATTTCCCAATTTTGCATACGTATTTTTTTTGTTTGTTTGTTTTGGTTTCGGAATTTCCAATCAAACTTCTTGCAAGAACAATAAAACTAAGCGACTTGATCCGGTCAAGCAAGTAATTAACTAGATGGAGATGCTGCCTTTTCCACATGTTTTTTTTTTGCCGCACCTCGTGCGCGCAGTTCTGCTAGTAGAACCGAAGGAGATCCAGGCGGCAGGGGCTACTGCCTTTCCTCTGTTGTCGCTCTTCACACCCACGGAGTCCAGCCTTCGTACAATAAAGCCAGGTTATCCAAATTCGTCGCCTCGTGGATTACGTATTCGACCTAAACAACAACTAATTAATCCAACATTCCAATACTAAACGAAACCAAAAGTAAGATGATGATGGTACAAGACGAATTAGAAAGGTAGAGGAAGATAGAGGAAGATAGAGGAATGAAGAAGAATGATGAGGAGTGAAGAGGAAGGTAAAGGAAGGTTGATGAAGGCAGAGGAAGGTAGAGGAAGTTTCAGGAAGGCAGAAGAAAGCAGAGGAAAGTTAAGAAATTTAGAGGAAGTCAGTGGAAGGTTGAGGAAGGTAGAGGAAGGTAGAGGAAGGTAGAGGAAAGTAGAGGAAGGTTGAGGAAGGCAGAGGAAAGTTGAGATAGGAAGGCAGAGGAAAGTTGAGAAAGGTAGAGGAAGTCAGTGGAAGGTTGAGGAAGGTAGAGGAAGGCAGAGAAAGGCAAAGGAAGGTAGAGAAAGGCAGAGGAAGGTTGAGGAAGGCAGAGGAAGGTTGAGGAAGGCAGAGGAAGGTTGAGGGTGGTAAAGGAAAGTGGAGGAAGGCAGATAAAGGTTGAGGAAGGCAGAGGAAGGTTGAGGGTGGTAAAGGAAAGTGGAGGAAGGCAGATAAAGATTGAGGAAGGCAGAGGAAAGTAGAGGAAGATTGAGAAAGGGAAGGTAGAGGAAAGTAGAGGAAGGCAGAAGAAAGCAGAGGAAAGTTAAGAAAGGTAGAGGAAGACAGAGGAAGGTTGAGGAAGGCAGAGGAAGGTAGAGGAAGGTAGAGGAAGTCAGTGGAAGGTAGAGGAAGGTAGAGGAAGTCAGTGGAAGGTTGAGGAAGGCAAACGAAGACAAAAGAAGGTTGAGGAACGAAGCCGAAGGTAGAGGAACGAAAAGAAATGACGAGAGATGTCGAGGAAAGAAGATGAGGCCTCTTCCATCGAATGCAAAACCACCAACCTGTTCTTGAACAGTGCTCTTTCTGCCCGAATCCGGATCCCGTCCCTCCAATTTCATCTTGACGCGCCGCCACACGTTGACGGCGTAGGCGTTGCGCTGCTGCCCCTTGGCGTTCTCCGGCTTGTGCGGTATGGAGCGATCCGGGCCGTCGCCGGCGTGGCGTTGGCGGCCGGGCGGCGGCGGCGGCCGCTTCGGCGCCGATTCCAAGTCGAGCAGACCGTCGTAGATCGACGCCGTGTGGTCGCGGATGTAGCGCAAATGGCCCAACAGCTGGTCGATCTCGCCGCCGTCGAGCTCCTTCTTGAAGTTGGCGAACAACGATTGGAAGTGATCGACGTAGCGCTTGTACTCCTGCACGAAGGACTGCGTCGCGGCGCCGTACTCGTCGATTTTCGTCATGATTTTGATCAGGCCTTTGATGTCGGATATCAGCTTGCCGTGGACGTTGTAGACGGCTTTGAAGTTGTCCATGATACACGTCAGGCTGTCGTTGTCCCTGAAGCCGGTGTCTCGGCTGTCTTTGAGCTCCTTTTGGGCTTCGGTGATGGTCTCGGTGAGGGTTTCGGAGACTTTTTGCAACCATTTGGGATCGTTTACCAGTTCGGGCGTTAGCATTTTTAGTATGCTTTCTTCGGTGGGTAGGAGCGACTCGATTTTCGAGTCGGTGTATTGGCAGGCCAATCGCCACGTTTCGAAGGCTTTCAAAAACCGTTTGTTGTGCTCCGCGGTGACTTCGGAGGAATTAGATCTCAACAATTCGTGTTTTAATAGAATACCGTAAGATGATAATATATGATTGGCTGTTTTGAGACCTAAATCTAACTGGGCTGTTCGATTTTCTACAGCACTTTCGAACGCTGCCGATATCTCACCGACATTAGGATTGGCTCCTTTAGCCCATTTCAACCGTTGATCCGCTTTGTCGATCAATTTCTCCTGCTCGTTTTTCGCGTCAATCAATTGCCTGTACACGTTCTGCAAATTGCCGATTTCGTTTTGTATATCGTGCGTAAACTTGGCCCTCACCGACGAATACTGCAGCATTTCATCGAACATCATATGGTGCACGGCCAGCAGCCCTTGTATTCTCAGCGTGCTCGATTGGAATATGGTGAGCTTCTGCTCGATCTTCTTCGGCTCCTGTATCTTCTCCCAAGCCATCTTCACGTTCGCCTCGAGGCTGGACGCCTGCGAGAGGATGTTCTGCGAGAATTTCCCGTCCTTCAGCAGGATGTTCCAAGCCTTCGAGTACAGCTCGTCCAACGGCACTTTGTTCTCGGCGCCGATGTCCTTCTGCTCGATCTCGCGCGTCACGTCCAAGCCCAAGTGCTGCAGGATGAAGCACACCGCGTACGTCACGATCTCCGGCAGGATGCCGAGCAGCTGGCGCGCTATGAACTCCGCTATGAATTGCTTCACCGGCTTGGTGAGTTGCTCGTCGTTGAATATCATGCCGGTGCCCAAGCCTTTCAGCGACTGGCACATCTCCTGCACCAAACCGAAGAACTCCGCGATGGCCTTCAATCGCTTCAAGAAGAATATGTCCTCCAACAGCTGGCGCACGCGCACGTTGAATATGTGCGGCGCTATGTTCTTCGCTTCCTTGACGTGGTCTAATCTCTTCCACGATTTCGGAACGTCCAGGTAGCCTAAAGTGTTGGTGAGATTGTAGATTTCTTGCGATAGCTTCTCGAACAAACCGTTGAAGCCCATTAGCAGCATCTTGCCTTGCGTTAAGGTCTCCGGCTGGTTGGGTATGAGAGATAAGAACTGCTTCTTCGTGTACGACACCTTCTCCAAGACGTAGTCGAACGAATCCTGGTAGAAATACCGAGTTTAATTACTCGTTTAATTGTGGAAAATGTTAGGTACTTACCCCGCAGTCCATTTGCATCAGAACGCACGTCAGCAGCTTCTCCAATTGTCCGATCATATCGGGTATGGTGAGGCCGATGTCCTGGACGATGGCGTTCAAATCCTTCACCATTTCGATAACCGACGGCTCCTCCGCTTGGATCTTCTTCATCGTCTCCGGCAGTATGATCGTGTGGAAGTTGTAATTCAAATCGTACAAACCTTTGTACACGTTCGTGGCGATCTTGATGCCGTTGAGGATCTTGACGAAGTTGTCGTCGTAGTTGTGCTTGGGCGCCGGCAGATTGTTGATCATCTCCACGGCCCTGGTGCTGTGCAACAGCAAATCGTCCAGGAACCAATCGCCGTTGCGGTAGGTGAGCTTGATCAGCCAATCGCCGCTGCTTTGGGCGGCTATCTCCAGCGTAAGGAGGTTCCTGTTGAGCAACACCAGCTCGCTGGCGATGACGAACTCCAAGGCGCTCGTCGCGCCCTTTTCGAGCGCGATGAACGTGCGCAAACCCGCCTTGGCGTTGCCGTAGATCTTCTCCAAGGTCTCGCCGGATTCTTTGGCGTGGTGGTTCTCCAAATCGCCGTAGAGTTTGTTGACTTGCAGGACGTTTTCTTTGTACAAATTCTCCAGGTTGATGGCGACCGCCAGGATTTGCGGGTGGATTATCGCGGAGGATTCCACGAATTCGCGGTACTGTTTGTAGATAATGTCGCAGGTCAGGTAATTGTTGTTTTCCAAAAGGAACTTACACCATTTTATGTACAAGTAGATCCTGTGCGAGTTCAAAAATGACCTAGGACATTGCGTTAGAATGGTGAAGTAATCTTGGTAGATTTGCAGGCACTTTCGCACGGATAAGTTCAAGTGTTGCAGCAACCGGAACACTTCTTTTTCGGATTGCTCGCATTGCGTGATGACGTCGTTTTTGCCGGCGTTGTGCAGGAATTCCTTCACCAAATCGAATATCCTCATGGCGTCCTCGTCCGTCACCACTTTGATGTCTACCAGCAGTTGGGAGAACTGCTGGCTCTCGTGCATGGCTATCAGATTGGCGTAAACAGCGGCGTGCTCTTCGTATTCGCTGATGATGCTGGTTAATTCGGTTTTGGCGCCGATCAGCGACGCCTGCGACTTGTGGTAGGCGTCGAAATGCGACGGCAGCGAGTACAAAGGATGGTTGTGCGCCCCTTGGGCTTCGGCTTCTTTGATCAACGCTAGTTGCTGGTGGAGATCCTGCAGCTTGTCTTCGGCATCGGCTATTTTCTCGATCAGCTTCAGGTAGTCCATTAGTTTGTCTACTAAATTCGGTATTTCGTTGAGGATTTCCTCCCTGGAAATTCGGTAATAAGAAGTTTTTGTGAGTGTTGAAATAAGAGAACTTACTTGTTTTCGTTCCATTCGGCTCGCATTTCGGTGCATCGGACGTTGAACATGGATAAGGTGACTTCCTTTTCCAGTTCCTTTTTGCTCCGTTTGGAATTCGTGTCGGTCGTTAACGAGCCGAAGGTGGTACCGGCTAAGGCTTCGCCTCCGACGGTCCAATCGATGAGAGGATCGTAAACGAAGGCCTCTAATAGCGTTAAAAGAGTCTCTCGACCTTTTCTCATCACCTTCAACACGTTCTCGCTGGCCAGGCGGAATATTCCCTGTGGACAAATCGTTAAAATAACATCGTTGCGTAACGGCGTAGCGGAATTCTTGTTGATGTTAACTCGAAATTGGGAAATAATGAAGGCGTATTTGCGCTGAATGTTTGTTTTCTATTGTTTGCCTTAAATTGATATCGCAATATTTATTATTTGGCATGAGTCGCGATCGTGAAACGAGCATTATTTAAAGCTGCAATTAATAATACAAACAGGTGTGTGCGTGGAAATTGGATATTAGGCCATGTAGAGATTGAATATATTTTTTTCATTCATTATAACTAATTAGACTATTTTTGGACCTCTTAATATTCCTCGTACTAAATTAGTAACTGTTAATGATACTTTATTTACAATATTTTGTTCAAAATAAAAATAATAATGCGTAAATAAAGTAGGCGTAAAATTTGAACAGGTATTTTCCAAACCGATAAATACATATAAAACTGACTAGATTAATACGATAATAAACATTGGGGGATTTACAATACTAATAACGTTTTTAATAATATTGCGTCTAATAAAAAGGTTTATCTAAAAGGAAACCTAATAAAACTTAATTCTTTTTGGATAACAACGAAGATATGAACCTCTTCCTTAAATCGGGACTACAAAGGAAACAGTATTGGTAAATATATAAAAAAAATTGGTAACAATCAATTTTAATATACTCAAAGGCTCTACGATATCTACATGAAACGAAATCTACGAAAACACTCATTAAACAGATTCAGCTTATCATCAGGGAACAATATTAATCCGGGCGGGCGCGAAATTGAAAATCGCAGATAAGAAACTTACATTATCCTATATTTAGATACGGTCCTAATTGAATTTTGATAGACACGATTATCGATCGTGTGTCCCTGTCCCGCTTAATAATTATGCAAAAAAAAACGGAAATTTTTCATTCGTCTAAAACTTCATTATCGAATTAGACGATGCCTAATCGCATCAATTAGGTCAGGTAGATTAATTTTGATGGATAACTTTAATGTGAATTTTCAACGGGTGTTGTTTCACGTTAATTAGACAGCGAGAGACAGAGGCGTGATGGTTTTTGATTACATATTATAGGATTATGTTACTATTTCGAAAAATAATCGTCACGGTTACCAATAATCTATTACATAGCTCATTTATAATAAAGATTTTTCACCGATATTTCCATACCATTTAGAAACTAAATAACGTTATCGGATAAATACTTTCAACCAAATTTATTGGAAAACTTGTAAACAATCAATTTACGTTAAAAGCTTTTGTTTGTACGATTACCACCTTTGTACGTTTTATCAACTAATATACGTACTGGTAAAATGCCATCCACTCTGATTATTAGCATAATTTTAAATAATTGAAAACCTACGGAATACATTACACAAATAATCTCCTAAAAGCTAAAAAAATTGAGTTTTAAGTATATTTTTTTGCATCTCAAAACACTTCAATTAAAAACGAACAAATAAAATTGATTAAAACCAGTTAGTGTTAGATTATTCCAACATTACATATAACTCTACCGGTTTTTTTATTAACCAAACATCATTACACACGGTTAAGTAATTGTGGAAATAATTTCCCGGCTTATCGTGACTTTTCTCCCTCGTAAAAGCGCAAATGGAAAAACAAAACTATTATCCCTTACGCGGTGAATTATCCTTTTTGCGTTAACGCAACGGAACGTCGCTATAGACAATCAAAATTCAATTTTCAATTTACAACCAAGGCCGAATCGATGAGACGAAAAAAAATATTTATCCTCGCTTATTTTCGCCGAAATTCCATAAATTAATTAAGCGAGTACCGTCGCCGAATAATTTTCGAAACAGTAAAAAAATCCAACGCTGTCGAATTTCCCGAGGGAGACCACGCAACGAGATCGCTTCGATGCGTTTCCTACCATTTAATTTCCCATCGGAGTATCGGAGAACTCGCACTCGCTCTCGGCCCGCGTACCGCGTACGATCGTCCATCGAATCGATCGGAAAACCATGCGAAAAACCGTGAAAATCTCGTAGTGTTTCGCAGCGCCGTTCGCGATGGGTAGCCCCAGCCAGTGCCACTATTGCGGTACGACATTGTGGATGTTCATGGGCGTCGGTACGACGTTCGGCACGATCGTGGGCAACGTATTGACTCTGTTCGCGATATTGCTCAGCAAAAAACTGTCGTCGATGATGGCGAATTATTTCGTGTTCAGTTTGGCCGTCAGCGATCTGATGGTTGGGCTCTCGTTGCCCTATCACATGCTTTTCTACACGCTCGACGACTTCGGTAGCTTGAAGTACGCCTGTCTGCTGCGCTTCGTGTTGATTTCCTTCGCCAGTTCGAGCTCCATATGCAATTTGTTGTTCATAGCCATGGATAGGTATTTGGCCATAGTGTATCCGTTGCATTACGCTAGATTCATGGTGAAGAATCGCGCTGTGAGTTTGATAGCAGTGGGCTGGGCGATGTCTTTTACCACGGCCTTCGTTCCCATCATATGGAACGAATGGAAGGAGGGTGTAAGCTGCGAAATCGTCAACGTTTTCCCCAGCAATTTCCTGCAATTCATACTGTTGCCCATGTTCTCGCTGGTTTGGACCACCATGCTGCTGCTGTATACCAGGATATGCCAGGAGGCGTCCGGGCAACAGAAGAAAATTGCGGTGTCTGGTAATTTGCACCAAACGAAATCGTTTCAGGCGAGTAAACATTTAGATATAAATCATCAGATTATTAACAAATACCCTGTAGGTAGTCTATCCAAAAATAATACAGTAACAAAAAAAACCACAGAACAGGATGTTTGATATTCAAATTCAACTGTTTATTGCGTAATTAGTAAAATTAAGTTGGTTCTTTAATCGTTGGTAAAAAAATTATCGCAACAATAAATATTTTCGGGTTCTTCACCAAATTAGGCATACCACAAGTTAATTATTTCTAATGTTAACGAGGTTAACTATTTGTTACTAGTTTTCAGTCGATAAATTGTACGTGTTAAATAGAGCGCCCAGCGATCAATCCAGGAAATCGAGCATAATTTAGCCGGCGAACATGCCGGGAATCTTAATGCATTTTTTTTGTTGTTTCGAATCGAAAACCAGAAACATACATAAATGTATTAATGCATTCGCGCAGACACTTTAAGTTTCGAATCGAATGTAAAAACACGCAAATAAAAGCCGTTTATTTTTAGCTAATCGAAAAGAGCACTTAGAAATTTTGGAATCTTTACTGGAAACGTATATACACTAAGCGACAGCGTAAAATAAATAAAGCGAATTTAATTAATTCGATTAAATAATATAAATTTTGGAAAAATAAATCACTGTTACGGGTGAACTTAGATAAACGACTAAACTTAGGTTTACCCAGGTAAACTGCGAAATACCGGTATGGTAGGTTTCTCATAACATAACTAGAACCCAAGAAACCTAAGAAACCTACCCATGTAGCTAGTAACGTTAAATAAACGACTAAACTTTAAGGTTTACCTGGGTCACGGTCCTATATTTCTAAGGTCTGGAAACATGGGTCGAAAAAGTGTCCCGTTAGTTGAGGATAAAACAGGGTTCCTAAAACGGCCGCTAGGAGGCGATGTTGTAAAGGACCCTGGTTTTTTTGCGTACGAATTATGTAGATTTAGCATTAAAAAAGGTTGTATTTAAACTAAAAATAGATACAAAATATAAAAATATACTTAAATCAGCGATGAATTTGTTGTAAATATCTTCGGTTAATGTATTTCTCAATTTTCTCCTCGAAATGTCAAAAAAAAATTTTTGAAGTTTTGACAGCTTGAACTGTCGTCTCACAACCGCGATTTAAATGTAGCTCGACGCTGATTGACTGAGATAAATTGGTCCTCCGATCGTTCGCCACGGTGCGGCGTAAAAGTGAAGCTCAAAAAGTCCTCAAATAACGGGACACATTCTCTAATGCATATGCATAGGGAGATTCCAGACCTTAGAAATATAGGGCCGTGATCTGGGTAATATGTTGATAATTCCGCCTACTTAGATTTCGATAAGTTATAATGCAAATTGCAAAACAACTATATGTCATATGTCAAACTTAGTCAAACTCGAAATGTCTGGCGATTTTAATACAATTTCCGTCAAAAGCGACTCTAATTGCAGATCTATGTTTATAATTTACCCGGGTAAACCTAAGCTTATCCAACATTATACCACCACAAACTGATTGAAAATTTCATCGACAACCGTTACGATCCAGATCCGTTTTCTGTTACAGATGACCTTAGTAATCCTCGGCTGTTTCACGATATGCTGGCTACCGTACTTCATCATCGTCATCTACATAAGAACGACGAAGAACGACGAAACGGCCACGTTGTACGAGGTCTTCTTCAATCTGGCGATGGCCAATTCCTGCATGAATCCGCTGATATACGCGTGGAAGAACCGGACGTTCCGGAAGGCCTTTTTGGCCCTGCTCAAGTGCAAGCATCCCGACAGGAACGGCGACTTCGTCACCAATCACGTGCCGAGCAAGAGGAACTCCTTCAGTATTTTCAACGTCCATTGCCAGAGGGAGGAATTGACCACCGGCACCGAATTGTCGTGCGCTCACGACGATGCCGTCGAACATATCGCGCACAAGATCGCGGACGAATCGTGAAACGAGGCGAAATCGATTGACGAGGCAGCTTGTGGTTCGGAATGAAACTGTTAAAGTCGCTGGATTATTTTTTCGAGTACGGTTGTTGATAATTCCGACGCCTACTTAGTAAAAAACTATATGTCATATGTCAAACTTAGTGGTATTCGAAATGTCTGGCGATTTTAATACAATTTCCGGCAAAAGTGACTCTAATTGCGGACCTATAATGTGATATGTTGACATTTTTATAATTTATTTTGTGATATTATATTAATTTATAAAAATTGTAAAAATCGCCGAATTTATTAATTCACCCCCGGAAACCGAAACTTCCACAGCACACCAAAATTTGACATATTAAAATAATATGACATAACACTTGTCAATTTTGATTATTTTGGATTCTACCAGTTACGAGGGTAAGTCAAAAAGTTAAATGATAAATATACCTCTAGAATAAACAAAATAAAATCAAACGAAAAGTTATTGCAAATTTCTCGGAAAATAATAGAACAACAAATCAAAAATACACAAATAAGTGCAAATTTGTACGCAATATGATGACCTATGAGCGCAACACAGAAAACTTCAATTAGTCTCGTATAAAGAAAGAAAATAGAGTGATATTGTGGTATTGTAACTTCATCACTCTAACCCACTGTTATTATAATAATTTTTCTTTATTCAACTCGTAGAATTGACCAAATTGCTAACATATTTGCTATACAGGTTGCTCCATTTTTGATCGCAACATACAGTAGACCAAAAAAGTATTCGTACAGTTGCATTATGTTCTGGAAGTCCGCGTTCAGTAAACAGAAGCAAGAAGTAACTAGCAAATTAAAATCAACATTCCAAGACTACTTTTGCAATCATTAATTAATATTGTAATTAGAAATGTAAAATAAAAAAAAAACGAAAAATGTTTGCTTTATCCCCAAAACAAGTATTCGTACAGCAACGTTTTATCAATTTCTTCACTCTGTAGATATTAAATTGTTTATTGTTTTGGCCGGTATATTAGTATTAAGTTGAGCTTCTACTTCTGTTTTCAAAATAATTAAGTTTACCTTAAAATGCATAGAAAAACTGCAGAAATAGATGGTGACTTAAAAAAGTCATCATCCATCATTTTATAGAAGGAAAATCATATAGAGAGATAGGTAAAATTGTTTAAAAACAGTTTATACAGTTCAGTATACAGTTCAAACGAGATCAAATGCTCCATACATCGCTTCTGAACTGGAATCCAGTACAGGTCATAAGAAGATAAACTTATAAAGGAAAAGAAAAGAGTGACATTTGTGTCATTGCAACTTGTCACTCTGACAACTGTCATTTTAATAATCTTTCTTTGTTCCACTCATAGAAATGACCATGTTGCAATCGGAAATGGAGCTAGAGGTGTATATCAAAAAGATCGGAGACTCACCTCGACCCCGGTAACGCCCAAGGCATCCTTGATGTTGGGCGTCAGCCTGAACGGCACCTTCTCCGGCACGCGCAGCGTCTTCCCCTTCTCGAAACACACGTTATAATCGATGTGCACCACGTCGCCGCTGGTCAAATCCACCAGCACGTTGTCCAAATGCCTGTCGCCCAATCCGATGATGTACCCGATGATGCTCATCACCGCTATCGAATACGAGTACCGCTTGATCACCTGCCACCACAGATCCGGACTGACGGCGTTGCACCAAAACTCCCTCGACAGCAGATCGCCCGGCGTCTCGCCCATCAGCTCGCCGAGCACCTGTTTCAGCACGACCAGCGGCCATTCCTTGCGATTGTCCGCGTTCTTGACGCCGTGCTCCTGCAACAGCGGGTTGAGTTTGTTGTAGAACAACTCGGAGGGTCTGAGCACGGCCGAGCTGGAATTCTTCGAATTCGGTTTGGAGGCTTCGCGCTGTTGCCAGCGCTTGTACAGGGCGAACACCGGCGTGGTGCCGTCCACCCAGGATATCAAACCCGACCGGGGACCGAGCGGTATGACGGAGTAATGCCGGGCTTTGTAGAAGTTCGAGCCCGACGGATCGGCGATTTGGGCCATCATGGTGTTGGCGATGCTCAAGAATTGCATAATCCTCTCGTCCAAATGCAGGTCCTCCAGACCTTTGAATAGGTAGGTGTAGGTTTGTCCGTCGGAGCCGTAAAACACCAGTTTCTTGGGTTTGGTTTTGGTGGGTAAAATTGACACTACGTTGGACACGTGCGAGATGGTGACGTTTTTCTTCGCTATCGACGCCAGTCCGGGCATGGATATTAGACTGTCTTTCAAATTGTGAAGCACCGGGCTGATGTCTTGCATTTTCAACGAGTACGAGGCCCGTTTGTGGAACTTCTGTTGGAACTTCTTTTGCAGCTGTTTCAGCGGCAACAGGGACTCCTGCGGATTCTCCGGCCGTTCGGGATGCTTCAATTTCTTTATAACGCCTTCGATCTCCTCCAAATACCTCTCTTGGAATTGTCTCTCGTGCGGCGTCTCCGCCTCCACGCTGGTCACCTCGAGCAATTGCTCCAACACGAACACGATCGGTTTGATGATTATCCGGTGTTTCTCCACGATCAACGACGCCTTCTCCGCCTTGTCCAAACTCCCGTTTTCGTTCACCTTTTCGATCTCGTAGTCCAACTGCTGTTGTCTCTTGTTGATCTCGGACTGGTGCTGGGCCAACGTGCCCAACCACAGCTCGTCCCAAAGCAACGTGATCCTCCGCAACTCCTTCACCAACGTTTGCACCTGAAACCCAAGCAAAAATCGAATTAAACTCGAAGTTAAACGAGTTCGTAACACCATTTACCTGCGTAATAGTCTCCGGGTCCTGTTTACTCAACGTATCCACCATGGTTTTGAAGCAAATCTGCAAGCTGTTGTTGGCCACCGGCTCCTCGTTGTCGTCGCTGTCGTAGTTGTCGTCCTCTTCGTTGAGCTCGATCTCGTCGCCGGCGTCGTTGTTCTGCGACAGACAGTCCTTGGGCAAGGTGATCTCGGAGAAGTCGAACTTGAGGCCGCCCTCCAGCGCGCCCACCACCGCCGGAAAGGTGATCAGATGGGGCGCGTCCTCGGCGACGCGGCACAACAGATCGGAGACGCGCAGCCGCACGTACGACTCGGGATGGTTCAGCCGCGAGAACAGCTGCGGTATGATGACCTTCCACGGGTGCGTCGGCGTGGTTTGGAGGCCCTCTTCGAGGATGTTTTGCAGCTCCAAGGCGTACTTCACGATCAGCCGCAGCAGGCGTAGTGTTACAGTTATGGTGTTGCATTCGGTGTTGTTCGATACGTTCTCCGATTGGAGCACCAGCTGCAGGTACTTGAAGTACGCTTCGGCGCTGAGGGCGTAGTAGTGGTAGGCTCGCTTTTGCGTGCTCTTCCATATTTGCAGCAGGCTCTGGAATTGGTTTTCCATCACGCCGACGTCGCGCAGCTGCGATTGGATCATTTCGGACGTTTTGATCTCGTTCGAATCGATGTCCTCCTCGTCGATGATGTTGCGCGTTTGCGACAATATGAGGAAGATTTTGGTTAAATCTTCCTCGGACGTTTCGGGCGGCAGCAGTTTCTTGATCTCCGAGCAATGCTCGTCGCTCAAGTTGTTCTTGATGTCCGAGCTGTTGTCGACGATTTTCTTGCCCCATCGGTAGCACCACGTACCGAACGCGTTCCAGCTCTTCGCCAGCGAACCGTAGTGGTGGACGCTGAACTGGAGCAATTTACCGATGGCCACCTCGTTTAAGGGGATTATGTTGGAGGTGGCGGAGTCGAGCATGCCGATTTCGGGCAGCACCAAGATCAATTTGCCCAGCGGGCTGTTCATTTCGGTTAGGGAAACGTTGTCGTTGGTTTGCAGCCAATTCGACAGCTTCAGCAGTATTTTGCTGCTGATTTTTCTGAGCTCGTTGCCGCCGAACAGCTCGGCGTACTTCGAGATGGCGGTGGAGGCGGCGGCGCATAAATTGAACGTTTGTTGGTGGTTTTGCTCGTACGAGTAAGATAATTTTATAGCTTCGCAAACAGCCCTAGCTACATCTATACTCCAAATGTTTATATCGGGTATTTTTCGTAGGAAATTCGAGGCTATTTCTTTGGTGTTATCGCCGTCCAAAATGGCTATGTCTTTGTCGATGAAGAACTTGTTGATTTGAGTGACGGCCAGTTTGAAGTTCTTCTCCTTTCGAGAGCGTTTGATGATGTCCAATCGCAGGTTGCTGCAGAAGGCGTTGAAGCCTTGGTTCTGGACTTTACCGAAGTATTCCGACCACCAAAGGATTTTCCTGAGAATGGACGAATCGATTTTCTGTATTTCCGTTTCGAACGATTCGGATACCAGGAATACCGTATGAGCGGGATTTCCTTCTGCTACGTGCTTCAATCCGTTCACCACGTAATGGAGTAGGGAGAAGTTCTGCAGAGTATCGGAAGGGGCCAAGTGTAAATGGTTTTCGATGTTGTTTCGGATGGTTACCAGCATATCGTCGATTTCCTCGACGCAGTTCTGCTCCTTACCGGACGCCAACTTCACGGCTACGTTATACAAATTACTTTCAATGTTGCAGACGTTTTCGTAGATGCTCCAGGATTCTTTGCGTTTGAAACTCCAAGTGGCCAGTTCGTCGAAGGCGTGATTTTTCGATTCGATATCGAACAAAGTCTTGTTCGTATCCCAATCGGTCACGTTGAACCAATATTTCCTACCGTTTTCTAGGGAACCTTGGGCGGTGTGCCATTCGAACAAATCGATCCAATTGCTCATTTCCTTGTAACACACGATTATTTGATCGATTATAAAATTGTGCACGTCGCTATCTAATTTAGTGTCATCGTCGGAATTCTCCTGCAGGATTTTTTTGTAACCTTCCACGGCTATTTCGTATTTCTTCGAGCATTGCTCGGCGGCGCATTTCATCCAGTTAAAGCGCTTCCCCACTACTGTTTTACACCAAGTGTACAATCCGTACAAAGCTTCGGGTTCCTTCAGATGCAGCATAGCCAACGTGACAATCATAGCGACCCTCTCCAATTCCTGATCGTTCGCTCGATTCGCCTCCACGAAATCCTTCAAATAGCACAAACCGTTCCGCAGGGCTATGTTCACCTCGCCGCAGTGCAACGCAATGTGCATCAGCACGATGCGAATGCGACAGAACCACTCGTGACAGGACTTCGTGTTCGCCACGAAGAACGATTTCACCACCTTCGATGGAGCCGGCATCGCCAAAGCGCAACCCTCCGACGCGTTGTAAATCGATTTCTCCAAATTCTCCACGAATCTAAGCAGCAATTTCACTCTATTACCGTCGCTCGAACTCGATGCACTATCCGGTACTCTAAAAAAAAACAAACACGAATTATTTCTAGCGGCTGTAGGACTATCGCTACTTACTTATCGATGCCCTTCTTCAAAGCGATCAACTCGTTCCCCAAGCTGTTGAGGGTGCATTCGATTTTCGTGAACGTCTCGTTGGGCTTGCCCAGCGGCGTTCTCAATTTGTAATTGACGCAAAACTCGGCCGCCTCGGCGGCCATCCAATCGTCGAGGACGCGGCGATTGTTGACGACCAGCTCGAAGTAGACCTCGGTGTTCATCGGGGCCTCGGACTCGACGGCCCAGCAGCTAGTGAAAATCTCCTCCATCCAATTCGCCGGCGGCGGCGTTTCGTCGTGCAGCAGGAACCGCATCAGCGTTTTGAAATGCAACGGGTACATTTCGCCTTCGACGGTGCCGTTGAGGTGCAAATGCCGGGCCAGGTAGGTCGTGTAGTTGTTGTATTCTTTGAGGTGCGTGCTCTTCTGCTTCATCGAATATATCGAGTTCATTTTGTTCAGTTCTACGACGGCTACATCCCACGGTACGTTCGATGATAGCTTCGAGTAGGAGTCGCGAACGATCGGTTTGTTGGAATTCATGTGTAGCTTGCACAAATCGCTGATGTTCGATAGGAAGTTATTCGACCAGGATAGTTGTTTGTTCGATAGGAGCTTGTCGAGATTTTCGTACACGGCTAGGATGATGTTATCGTTGAAACTGTAGCCGCAACACACCAAAGCGTCCACCATTTTGGAGAACTTCTCGTCAACGTACAGGCTCTCTAAGTATATCTCCGAGTTGATCAGAACGTCGTTGAGCCATTGCAAGAGCAACAGTAAAATATCGGTGGAGGTTTCCGTTGATAGAGCGTTGTAAATGATGTCTAAAATGATTGCGAAATTTCCGGAATTCGGGGATTTGTTCGGTACATCGTTCGAGTTCAAACCCTCTGTTAAAGCGAATCTAAAACAACACAAACAATTTATAAACCGTTTAAATCGAGTTACGAAACAATCTTACCTATTCATGATGTTGGTGACCTCTTGCGTTTTATTAACCAAACTACTGTTCGATATAAAATGATTGTAACATTTGCAATGCGAAAACAACAAATACAACATGCAGTACTGCAACGAAGGGGCCGTTTTGAATAAAACGCTATCGTACGGAGTCATATAAACACCCACTAACTCCAAAATGCTCGGTTTAAGAGCCCACATTACGATAATCGAGCTGGCGTTGGCCAATTGCGACAAACATCTCAGAAGGAACAGCGTAGTTTGTTCGGGATCTTTACCATTGTAAGTTAAAAACGGATTGTTCTGAGTAAAAGGACTTATCGAGGGCACCAATTGCTTGTAAACCACTTCCAAATCGCCCAAAACGTATCTGTAAGCTTCCTGTAGAAGCGAAACGTTCTTCAGATTCAACAGTGCTTGGTACACGCATATGACGGCTTCTTGGATGTTATCGAACGGAGAATATCGCAATTTGACAATCTCCGAGTCGGGGCCGATTAATTTTTCTATCAATTCTATCGGGAGATTCGCCGATAATTCCTTAACTACTTTCGATACTAAAATTAGCAATGAGATGATCGTCGCATCGGATAATTCCATCAACATAGATAGTTCCAAATCGATTAACGTGTAAATTTGATTGCACATTAACTGGCTTTTCGTCTCGAGATAACCGAGCAATAATCCTATGCAATCATTACCGGCTATCGTTAAATTATCCGGAACGTACAATTCCAGACTTTCGGATACGGTTTTGATAATTCTCGTTAAAGCAGTCGTTACTAAATCGACTGTAACATACTTATTAGTAGCTGGATGAAACGACTTGTCCAAACATTTTAAAACCGTATTCATAGCCAATATTAATACGGTTACGTGATCTAACGTGCTCATGTCGCCGGTCTCTTTCAATTGAGCCGAGTAATTTCCTATATCTTCCAGAAAGTTCTCGATAAGCTGAACGGAGAACTCCGAATAGTACTTGAAATGATGCGAAATCCTCTGCAGACACTTCGAAATGAATTCGATGTTGCTCAAGGGTTGTGTGTGATCTACATGCCAGCCAAACAACAAGTCTATAGTATCTCTAAATTGATCGTAGAATTCCGATTGGTACATCTCCACGACGGTAACCAACACTTCCAGCACGGCTTTGAACACTTGAGCGTTCTCCGTCGATTCGATCGCAGCTACCAGATTGTTAATAAGATTCTCCACGTGGCTCTGCAGCACGGGCTTCTTCTCCTCGAACGCCAAAGTCTCCTCGAGGCTCTTCATCAGCAATATTTGCATTTCCTCGAACGTGCCCGCCATTTTGTTGAACAACCAGTGTTGGTAACGATCGAAATCGTTCTCCTGTCCCATTATGTAACCCATGCGGCCCAGCGCCCTGGCGGCTTGTCGCTTCGCCATGGGGCCCGGCGAGACTTGCAGGATCTCCACCATGGACTCGCCGAGTATGTGGAAGGCCTTGCGCACGTAGTGGGCATTGTCGGAGAGCAACAGCACTTGGAGGAGCTTCTTCGATATGGCAAGAGAGTTGTCTTGATCGGTTTCGATGTTCAGTCGCCTGAGCAATTTCGATATCCTTGTGTCTTCCGGCAGGTTTAGTTTGATCTCGGTTTTTTTGTCGGGTTCGTAGCATTTACCTCTAGCTCCTACAAATATGAATAAATTACTTATAATTAATCACATACGTGTGGATAATTTATTTACCGAGTAAATCTGGATTTCTCGCGTCATATTTCCTGATGTTGTAGAAATTGTCGGAATATTCTCTATCGCCTCTGCGGCTGGATACTCCCCTGTTTCTCGATCCTCCTCTTCGATCGCTGATTTTGCTAGACCTGAATTCGGTGGGTCTGGTCCTGCTTACGGCCCCCTTGTTCCTGGAATCCTTCAAGAACGAGGCCCCTTTCAGATCGTCGTCCACGACGTTGTCGAAATTGTCGTCCGAATTGCCATATTCGTATTCGTGCACCTCTCGAGAGCTTTTGGAGGCCCTGAGTTTGTAAGATGAACTGTTTGATATCATAACTCACATACCGGAAGCGAATGTTTTGTTCGCTGATAATTAGACACTCGTTAAATTGCAATTGGTATGCTGAGAGTCGATGAATTTTGCGGTAAAAACTAAAAAACAATACGAAATACTTTGGTTAAATGCTTTTTATCGCAATATTTTTTAAGAACAGAAGGGAAGAGTGAAAATGTCAATGTCAACTGTCAACTGTCAAACAAAACAAAGGAGAGGGGATTTTTTTGAAATTAGTTAAAAATTGTAGAACGAAAGAGTACATTAGTACAATAAAATATCCATAAATTAAAAATATGATTTTATAATATAATGATATTGCGCTTTAGTTCATTTTGTTTATTAGCTGAATGTATGTATTAGCAGAGGCCAGTGACGTACATTTGTAATAGAACTAAATTTTGTTCCATGAATACTACTCATAGGCAACCCAAATTACAACTTGTAATGTGTGTCACAGGTAATAAGGTACCAATCATAGAGAAAGGAAGATGAAAAAAGAAGATTGGACTCAAGTATTTCACGGGAATAGAGTTTTGGAAATGGGATGTACAGGGTGCATAACTTAACTAAACTAAACGAAACCATAATAATATCTACTAAAATTAATTTTTATTATGCAAAGCTTCCAATGGTATTAACATATTAACAAGAAGTTACCTACTTACTACATGAGGAGAATATTGACTCAAAAATCTATATCACTTTTAATAAGGGTAATTTTCGAATTGTCAATAATAACATCGATAATGTCCACAACCCCAAAAATATAACCTATATCGATTAGATCATTCGCGAGTCTATTTTTAATAGACCGTTCATTTCCTCCATCGGGTATAATCAGTTTTCCACAATCAACGTTTTCTTTATTCTCACATTGGAGCGTCGAAGAACAGAACAAGGTTCCTTCCGGGCATTTTTCAACTGCAAGTTCACCATCTTTACAAAGATAGTACCGGTCACACAAAGCATTATGGGGTGTTATGAAGTTTTGACTGCCGCATTCTAAAGGATAAAATATACTTTGTAAAATTTGTAATAAAATTGAAATTAATTATTTACTTACTCTGTTGAAGGGCGTCAGCAGCAACGCTGTAGAAAATGCAGAAAAAGAAAATTGCTTTTAATATACCAGCCATATTTCTTTAATGATTACTTTATTAATGACTGTAGAACTCTATTGTATAATGTAAGAATACTGACAATGGTTGAAGATTTTTTAGGTTTTATACATTTGGTTTATTTGTATGCTAAATGTTATTTATTTATTTGAAGATTAATATATTTTTAAAGATATTCAAAAACATCTTTATTCATAAACCAAATTTGTAACTGTTGTGTATATTAATCAGGAAGTATAACTGTGTAGATTTATGCAAAGGAAGAATCAACATTTATTATTTGATACATAAAAAATAATAAAAACAAATGTTTAAAATTGAATTAAATTTGTATATATGTTTTTAAACCACATAAAAATAAATTAATTCCAAAATCCATCAATAAACAAATATCATTTAGCATACAAACAAATAAAATGTACCTAGGTACCTATATAATCCAAAAAATGTCCAATAATTGTCAGTATATTCACAATACAGTTCCAGATTCTTCAATAAAATCGTAATTTTGAGTAGGTAATAGAAATATGGCAGGTATATTAAAAGCACTGTTGTTTTGCTGCATTTTCTATTGCGTTGCTGCCAGAAGTCTTCAACGAAGTAAGTCTATAATTTCTTTTAATTTAATTTTATTAGAAATTTTACAAAAAAATACTTTTCTTTAGAATGCGGCAGTGAAAACTACATAAAACCCCATAAAGCTTTATGCGACCGGTATTATCTTTGTAATGATGGTAAACTTGAAATTGAAAAATGTCCCGAGGGAAAGTTGTTCAATTCTTCGACTCTCCAATGCGAGAATAAAGAAGACGTTGATTGTGGAAAACTGATAATACCTAATGGAGGAAATGGACGCTCTATTAAAAATAGACTCTTGGATGATCCAGTTGATATTGGTGGTATAAAGTGGATTTTGGATGGCCTGGACATACTTATTTTATGTAGCACAATTACCGGTATTGATAGTGATCTAACTTTTTGATTGACTATTTTCTAATATAAATATCTACCTATATCCATTTACCAGATAGGTAATTCAAAATATTGTTAATTATGTTCTTCACTTTAAATATTAATAATTTGATGTATTAATTTACCATTAAAATTTACGTTTCTATGTACTTATGAAGAGAAATAAAAATTTATTTTGTCTATGGTACCTACCAATTTTTATAAAAGGGAATCTTCAAATACCTAACAAGAAATAAAAACCCTTCGTGACCACAAAAATAAAAGGCAAAAATCTTTTTAGTGATTAAACAACTCATTATTTCATAACACCATTATCGATATCTAAATCAATACCCATATTTTCGTTTATTGGTAAAAATGCGCTAATATTGAAAAACTGATAAGATAAATAAAATCATACTCTCTCCTAACTGATTACAAAGTGATGCATTGCTAACAATACTCCCGATATTAAAGGATATATTATTTAAAAAAAAAAAAAAATGATAAAAAGTGTAACAAATACCTACAGGAAAAATTCAGTGCATTTTTCCGATAACAATCGCTACATGTGCACTGGGTTTGACCCAAGGAAGATTTACCTGGTGAGTCTATATTTTTTAATTTCATAACAATTTTTATCTAAAGTTTCTTCTCTAATCTTTAGTTAGGTGAGAAACATTCCGGGTTGAAAGCTAGAGGGGCTTTGCAAAAATTTGACGAAATAAGAGACAAATGCATAGAAAACAATGTGCTTTTCGAAGATCCCCAATTTCCTCCACAGAAAATCGTACTCGGAGAGGCAGTAGAAAGATACAGGAACCAAATTAAATGGTTGAGACCTAAGGTTTGCTTACCTACACATCATCAATTTAATTTTAATTATTTTTTTTTTGAAGGATATAGCGCAAAATTGCATCTTCTTCGAGGAAGGAGAACATAGATTCGACGTGAATCAAGGAGAATTAGGAGACTGCTGGTTTTTGGCTGCTCTAGCAGAAATAGCTCAAAACCAGAAATGCCTACAATTCATCGTCCCTGATGACCAAAACATGACCGATAAATACGCCGGAATATTCCATTTCAGGTGAAGAAAAATCTATCAAAAACACTCATCTACACCAATTGATTAGATTAGTAATTTTTTCCTGGAAAACTTTTAGATAACTACTTCTAGGAATTGTCTCAATGTTATCAATTTTATACATAATTATTCGCAGATTTTGGAACTACGGACGATGGATAGACGTTGTAATAGACGACAGACTACCTACCATCAATGGAAATTTAATATTCGATCGATACAAAGACAAAAACGTCTTCTGGACTCCGCTATTGGAGAAAGCATATGCAAAGTAAATTTACATTACTCGCTCAATCCTTCACAAATAAATTTCCGGGTATTCACAGGCTATATGGGTCCTACAAAAACATAGAAGGCGGCTTCATATCGGAAGCCCTGGAGGATTTCACCGGCGGTTTGAACGAACTCTACCTAAATTTACAGGATTATAACAAAGACTTCTTCGAGATGATGCAAGTTTCCTATAACAGAAAATCGTATATGGGCTGTGGAATTTTAACGGTAGCAAAAACTCGCTCTACTGATCCAATAAATATACTTAATTTGATGTTTTTTGATAGAATTCCGGCGGAACTGAAGGCGAAAGAGACGACGGTTTGTTCTCAAGCCACGCTTACAGCATCACCAGCATCGCCGAAGTAACAGCAAAAGATGGTACTATCTACAAATTAATCAGGCTCAGGAACCCCTGGGGCCAAAAAGAGTACAACGGAGATTGGAGCGATAAGTAAGCTCACAAATGTCTCCAATTAAACTCCAACATTTTCACTACTTAACCTATCAGCTCCCCAACGTGGGATCTCCTTCCAGAAGATACCAAGAACTCGCTGTTAAGAAGAAAAGACGACGGGGAATTCTGGATGCAATACGAATATTTCATAACAGCCTATAATCTTCTGGAGTTTTGCCATCCTAATCCAGACTCTTTGGCTTATAATCCAAGCGAAACCCACCAGTGGAAGTGCTTTATGCTCGACGGCGCTTGGATAGGAAAAGTCAGCAATGGAGGAACACCATCGAACAGAAGTAAATCGTAAATACATATTAAATACTTCCTCTAATAATATATTCCACAGATTTCTACTTGAATTCCCAGTACATACTTACCATTAACGAGAAAAACCTCTCTGCTAGCACACACAAAGTGCTGATTGGATTGATGCAGAAGAACAGGAGGCTCTTTAATCTGCCTGAATTGCCGATAGGATTCGCCATATATTCGGTACTTTTGCCCGATTTTCACCTAGTTTCTTCTATTATCGAGTTTACAGTTGAAGGTCCCGGCTGAAGGTCCTCTACCGGCCAATTTCTTCTCTTCCATCAGACCCGCGTACATTCGCAAAGCGGAGTTCAACAGGCAAGTCGTGGGGCAATTCGATCTACCGAATGGGATCTATTGCATCATTCCCTTCACGGAGGATGCTCGATCGAGCTGCGAGTATTTGTTGAGGGTTTATTCCACTGTCGATTTCAGCGTTGGGTTGGTAATTACTTTGAAGGTTTTGCTAGAGGTAAACGTGGTTGTTTTGTAGAGAAAACGATGTGGAAGTTAGGTTTATAGACAAGAGCGCCTCCGCAGGAATGTACGATACAGTAGATGGAGTTTCAGCAGACAAAGCGGTTGGAGAAGTGTTTGCTAATATGGCCGGGGAAAGCGAGGAAATCGGCTGGAAAGAATTGAAATCCATCCTGGATTTGTTGCTAAAGCAAGGTAAGTTTGTTACAAGATAATGAATTTCAGCGGGTTTAATTATTTTATTGCAGAAAATCGCGAGTTTTCCAAGGAACTCTGCAGGAGCATGATCGCCCTGGCCGACAGCGATCTCTCCGGCAAGCTCAATTTCAACGAATTCTACCAACTTTGGGAGCAAATCGGAAACCTTCGAGTAACTCTTCTTCAACTCTATATGCATAACTTATAACAACTGACTTTCCAGGGCGTATTCAGAACCAACGAATCGGAAAAATCCTCCGCACTTTCCACCACCGAATTGCGATCCGCTCTAAAAGCCACCAATCTTCAAATCAGCAACAAAATTCTCAGACTGATCATTCTGAGATACTCCGATGACAACGGGGAAATCGATATGGAAGATTTCTTACATTGCTGCATCAAACTGAAGATTATGATTGGTAAAATTTTCTATTGAAACTATAATACTCGTCATACTCTAGCCTTGCTTTAGCTTTCCTCCAGCCTCGCTCTAGCCTTGCTCTAGCCTTGCTCTAGCCTTGCTCTAGCCTTGCTCTAGCCTTGCTCTAGCCTTGCTCTAGCCTTGCTCTAGCCTTGCTCTAGCCTTGCTCTAGCCTTGCTCTAGCCTTGCTCTAGCCTTGCTCTAGCCTTGCTCTAGCCTTGCTCTAGCCTTGCTCTAGCCTTGCTCTAGCCTTGCTCTAGCTTTGCTGTATCCTTTGTGTTCCATGGTAGTAACTGATGATATTTTTTTAGATAATTACAATTCGGAGAAGAAGCGCGGATGCTCGTTGGAAAAATGGCTGTTAGATACGATTTACACTTAAATATTCTTAATGTATAATAAAGTCGTGCAAAAATAGAGCGTTTCAATCACAAAAGTAGAGTTTTTAGGGGTCGAATTCGTCGGGCTGGCGAGCGAATGTCCCCGTTAATGAGGACAAACAATTAGGTTCCGGAGTTATCGTGTAATTTAACACCGAAGGGGCGCATTTCCTGCGGTTTCTGTCGCGTGCGCTGCCCGTCGGCGCTTCGCCATCAATCTAAATTATAGCTAAAAGGTTTCTTAATAAATTGCGCGTCGCTTATTCGTGACTAATCCGGCTCGATTTATTCTATTCCTCGGAGTTATCGCGTTTCTAAAAGTCCCCGTGAAAGAAGATTCCTCGAGATGAAACTAACGATCGGGATGACACCGTCGAAAAACGTCTGCTTTCTAGATTATTCCGGCGAAACAAAATAATTTGACAATCGGGCAAACTGAATTTGTCGAATATTTATGGCACATCAACGAGAAATAACGTTCGTAGAATTGAAATGATTTTAGTGACAAACAACTTTAATTTTGTTAACTTCTGATCCGAGGCGATTTGTTAAATAAATATGAGCGGAGAATACTTTGGTAGTGAAAATGATGCTAAATTTTACAATGGTAAGCTCTTCTATAATTATCGAGCCGATTGGAAACTTATTATTTCTTGTTTTTAGATTACGTTATGTCACCAAAAAATAATGAAAAATACGGCCAGGACCACCGATTCGCAGGTAAGATAAAATTATTTATATCATACAACTTTTAGATCTTCCTCTTCATTTGACCAAAATTTACTTCCAAAATCTCTTCTGCTCAAATTTCATGCTCTAACCGACATAAATAAAACGTCAATCGAGCCAAAAAAACCCATATAATATAATAAAATAAGTAGACAATACAAAAAAAAACAATCATCAATTCCGGTAAATGGAGCTCGACGAGCCGGCCAGCTTCTTGTTAGCGGCGCTGATCCTCTCGCAGAAGCTGCCGAAGGAATAGCACTGGTCGAACGCCTCCTTGGCCATGTCGCCGAGGAAGACCTGCAGGTGCGGCGTGGCGATCAGCTTCTTCATGGCGACGGCGAACACCTTGGGCTCGGGATCCACCACGACGCCGGACACGCGGTGCACCAGCATCTTGGAGGCGATGCCCTTGTTGCAGGCGACGATGGGCTTGCCCGCCGACATGGCCTTCAGCACGAAGTCGGAGAAAACGTCGTTCTTTGCCGGATGGATGGCTACCGCGGACTCAGCTATCAAAGTCTTCTCGTGTACAGTGGGTAGTTGCCGGAGGAAGGTCACCTGGGAGGCGCTGACTCTTTGTTTGGCCACCGCCATGAGTTCGTTGTAGTAGAATTTCTCGTCTAGGGATTTGCATTTCCCCGCCAGCACTAGCTGGAACCTTTTGATCATCGCTTTGTCTTCGACCAGCTCGAGGAAGAGCTCGAAGGCGTCCAGCACCAGTCTGAAATTGGTGGATCTTCTGAACTTCCCGATGCTCAGAAACAGTATATTGTCCGTCATCAAGTCCGGTATGATCCTTTGTATGCTGATGCCCGGCTCGTTCCACAAACCTATATCTATCGAAGGGTACAATACGATTGGTTTTTTGTTGAACGATGGGTAGGATTTCCTGAGGATATCGCTGAACCCCACCGTTTCTACTATAACTTCGTCTGCTAGTTTAATCCATTTGGCTGTTAACAAGGAGGGGTTGACTTTGGAGTGCTCGTAACAAGCGTCGGTGTTCTTCAATTCTGTAAAGTTTTCCACGTAGAAAACTTTGTAGTCTGTGAAGGATTTGAGGAGGTACAGAGCCCATAGGTTCACGTCTAGTACAACGAGCTCAGGTTTGGGAACCGGCGGGTTAAATATCAACTTGGCGGCCATGCAAATGGCTTTGAGCGATGAGAACCAGTCTTTGAAACAGCCCAAGAGGCTTTTGGGGATCCACCAGGCGCAATATTCTACTTTAGCATCTGAAAACTAGGCGTGTTTGTGTAGGTCGTGTGTTGGATTAAAAGCGATGTATAAATACCGGTAGTTCGTTAAGGACATCTTGCGCTTCGAATTGCGTCGTTAAAATGTTAATTTCATATCCTAGTTTCTGGTAGGCTAGAGCTATATTGAGGATGTACCGATCCGATTTTCTCCTTCCTATTTTTTCGTGCAAAATCACCACGACGGGTTTGTTTTCGTTCGATGATTGTTGCACCGGCTCGGTTTCCATTTCAACAAAATTGTGTAAACTAATTTTCACAACCGTCACTCACATTTTTGAATCCTGTCAATTCAAACAATGCGCATATTATACAAGGTGTTTTTTGTGTTACCAAAACGGTCTTATTCTTTCGGGTTTTTTGTTGTATTTTAGATGACAATCGATCAATAACATCATCTACAGAATCGGCGAATATGAATAAATCCTTAAAGAAACACCAAAGGGAATTGGTTTTGGCGAATCCTAACGATCCAAACAAAACCGTTAATAATTTATTAAACGGCATAACCAACACGGTCAATCGCATATCCGACTTGCACGTGCAACTATCCAATTCAGCCAGGAACCGAGCATCCCACACAAGTAAACACTAAAAATACACTAAAAGCTAAAATACCTCATGTCTTTTTTTTGTATCCATCAGATCGTTACTACAACGATTCGTTGTCCAATCCCTCGATGATATGCGAACAGATCCCCTTCACCGATCAGGCGAGCAAGCTGCCCGACCAGCCGAACATGCACGTGTGCGCCAGCAGCACCATCACCAAAACCAGGAACTTCAAGAAGAAGATGAAGGACAGCAAGCAGATGAAGACCCAAAGCTCGCTGATGACGTTGAAGAGGAACATCAAAGTCGACAAGAAGGTGTCGAAACCGCTGCTCGAGCACCAGTCCTCCAGACCGGGAGTCTCATCCAAAGCCAACAAACAAGGTACTTGCTTAATCTCTATATTCTTTCGAGCGTTTCAAATGATTGTTTGCGCAGCGAAATTGGTGGAGATATTCCACAATAAAGAGGCGAAGAGCAGCGATTCGGAGGAGGGCTACAATAAGAAGAACCATTACGTGACCTGCGACGGGGATCACTTGACTTGCGCCACTCCCGAAGTGCCTCTGTTGAATTTGGATAATTGCAAGGAGATCATCGACGGTAACGCTGATAACAAGCAACTGGTGCATCGTATGATAACTGGGGATTATTATGACCAGCCGTTGGCGCCTCGACTCAATATGAACTACAGCCAGAAGAGCTACCAGCTGCCCACCATCGCTTCTCGAATGAAACAGGTTTGGGCTGTTACTTGATGTGATTTGTTTGGAGTGTAAATTTGATAATTTCAGAACGTGGTTAATACGTTGATGGGAAGCAGCAATCTAACTATTGGAGGAACGTCTGTGGTTCGTTCTAAAAAGGTATTTTTTCTATAATAATGCTGTAAATAGTTGCTTATTTGAAGTCACTGTTTAAAGCATGAGGATAATAATAAACTTCAGTTCACATAATGGGCTCGTTTAAATTTCTCGAACTTACTTACAACACCTAATTTAAAGGAACGGCAATAAGGAAACGAGTCCATTTGTCCGGTTTTTTTTGTAAAGTATTGTTTGAAATTTCTAGGCTATTCCATTTTGTCCCGCGATAACTGCGAGTCCTAGTCATAACATTGGAATTAATATTCAACAGGTCATGAACATAATGCGAAACAGACAACCCATAAACGGAATATCGCCGACACTAGCGCACAATATCGGTTTGGCTGCTGATCGACTAAATAACAGACCGATGTCTGGCTTGGTGACCGACATCCAATCTAAAACCTAGTAAATGCCTGTTTGCAATCCGAAATTTCCAACGTAATCGATCGCTTTCGTTTGTAGCAACTTCATGAAATCCCAACATTGCCCTCTATCGAACAGCAATTTGAACTACCAACAGCTGCAGGACCTCGCCAAGGGCATACCGGAGGAGACGCAGGAGGAGATGGACGGTGAAGAACCGCCGGATTTCAAAACTCTGGTCATCACCGGACCCACCGGAGAGATTACCGTGAAGACCAAAAACGTTACATCTTGGGCGAATGACACCGCCAAAACCGTCGAATGCACTTGCCTACCAGAAACCGGCAACGATATTAACTACATCGCCAACAACATCAAGAAAGCCGCCATCGGAAAGGTGGCCTCGTCCCAAATCAACTTGAGCCAGGTACAAAAATCAATTACCAACGAACTAATAAGTATTATACTTCATCCATCCAAGCAATGGAGTAACTAAAACAAGTTTAGACGCTGGATCAACGCGTTATCATCAGTGATTGGTCAGCGTAAGGAGGCTTTTTTATTTTAACCAATAGATGCAAATGTGCATGATGATCCAGCGTCTAAACTTGTTTTGGTTACTCCGTTGGTTCAATGGAAGTATAGTATCGAGTATTATTCCAGCGAAAGCCCGATACAAGCGTCAACAAATTCAACTTCAACACCCCCAACAATCCCAAGCTCCTCAAGCGACCTCACACCACCAAAACCAAACTAAAAGACACCCCTAAACTGGTCACCCACTTGGACCAACTGGCGGTCTGCACTCCCCAATTGCTCAAAGGCAAGGAGAAGAACCTGAAGGAGGTCCTCACCCAGCTCCACGACGAGTTCGAGCAACTCAACACGTGAGTCCCCGACGGTTTTTACGAATGATTTGTTAATTTTTCTGGTTAAATCATCGCAGTAGATACGAGGAATTGTCGAAGACGACTTCGTCGACGAACCAGGAGGCGTGCAAGCCGGCGATGGAGCACCTGGAGGTCGAGCTGAACAAGAAGGAGGAGGAGATCATGATGGTGATGACGCTGTGCAAGGAGATCATGGCGCTGAAGAATCAAATAAAGTCGCTGAAGAAGGCGCCGAGCCATTCGAGCGTCGCGCCCGACGCCAAGGGCACCCCGACGTCGGCGACTTTCACGGATTATTGCAATCCCCAGGCGGCGTTCCATTTGACGAAATTATTGAAGCAAATCAAAACGTATCAGATGAGATATAAAAATGATGAGGCTGTTTGAGGTAACATCGTTTTTTTTGTGTGTGTGTGAATATATTGGATATTCATGTGGATGTTTTTTTAACGAGTGCCGGTTGAAATATTGCGAATATTTTGTTATTGGTACGGCTAAATCTGATGTTAACTTGGTATAAAAATAAATAAATAAGATCCGATTTTTTTGACGATCGATTTTTAGCTGATATTTTTTTTTGTATCTAAATGGGTGAACGGCCTGGACAGCGTCTGGTCTGGTCAGATGTGTTTTTAAAATACAATTCGGTATATCGATTCCGTATTAATTATTGTGGTCGATAAAACATAATGACAGGGGAATATTAGAATGAATAGCCCGAAGGCATTTTGAATGAATGATGGTGCGCGTACGTTCTATAACCAACTAGTTCTATCTTTTCCATTAACGCCTCGCGCGTCCTTTTGATTTATTTCGATTCGTGTAATTGTTTGAGATTGTAGGATGTAATCGGCTAATAAACAAAGGTTCCATGTACCTGCATCTATCTTCTAATAAAAATCTCGTTTCATTGTCTATTCAAAATGTGGGTAAGTGCAAATATGGGGTCTTTACAGACCAAATTTGGTGTCTTTAGAGACCAAATGTGGGTGAGTGCAAATATGGGGTCTTTACAGACCAAATTTGGCGTCTTTACAGATCAAATTTTGTGTCTTTACAGACCAAATTTGGTGTCTTTAGAGACCAAATGTGGGTGAGTGCAAATATGGGGTCTTTACAGACCAAATTTGGCGTCTTTACAGATCAAATTTTGTGTCTTTACAGACCAAATTTGGTGTCTTTACAGACCAAATGTGGGTGAGTGCAAATATGGGGTCTTTACAGACCAAATTTGGCGTCTTTACAGATCAAATTTGGTGTCTTTATACAGACCAAATTTGCACTTATCTGTATATGAATCCTGGATGCACGGATTGCTTGGTTAATAATAGAGAAATTCAGGACGAAAGTGCTGGTCAAATTTTTTTGTCTATTTGAGATTTGTTATTCGTCGAAAAATCATATCCTCTGCGTCCTGCTTAAGAGTTAATCCGCTTTGAAAACCGCGCAATCATATTCGAAATCCGACTTTATTGTCTCGTTAAAATTACAAATGATGAGACCCGTTCAAAGAAATCGGTGAGAAAGATTTAAATAATGTTTAAATAAACTGTTGTGGATCTAAACATTATCGGTCTTTTGCTAGATGAGTATGCAGGTATTCTGTTTGTTGACTACATAGATCACGTTTTTAAAAATCCAATTTCTTTATTAAACATTGTTTATTATTAATATAAAAGATCGCTTTTAATATAATAAAGTAACCTTGGCCTTGGTTGCAATCCATTTTAATGAAGAATGCAGCCATTTTTTTTCCTTGCAATTAATTCATAAAAAGATACCATTATTCGAAATGAAATTGCTTTTTATTGACATGGGAAAATTTCATTCTCGAGAATTATTTTAATTGCGCGCGTTACCTAACGCTGCATTAAATTATTTAGAAGATTTTCAATTTGTTAAAATCGTACAAAATTGCAGCTTTTGGACAGTAATTTAATGTATATTTAATTATGATTATAAATTAGTTACATAAAATATCTTGTGGGTGGCACCCCTGCTTATCATAAGATTAATACCAACGTAAGAAATAGATGGATACTTTTATAATAAACTTTTATAATATTAGGTACCTTTAGTAGCTGTTGTTTATTCCAGATTTCCACAGAAAAAAATCTTCCCATAATTAATTGTCTGTTCGAACTTCGAGGAACATTTAAATAAATTTTAATTAACATTCCGTACGTTCTATTTGATCAAATTGCAAAAACATGATTTATTAACTGTAAATAAAATAATAATAGACAACTCTCGACGTGAGCTGAGCACTAACAAAAGACAAAGAACGGAAAATTATCCAACGCAATTATTATTAAAATATTTATTATGTAAGATACGATGTTAACTATATCTCGACGGGCTGGATTAAGTTACTCTCGAGTATGGAGGAATAGGAGTCATTGAGTCATAACAATAATGGTCACGATTTTCAGCGAAAAATGCTAATTTTTATTGGTTATTGTAGGTAAATAATAATATGCATGTAGACCTTGATCTTGCATTCTGAAACGTGAAATTTGCATTAGACTATACGAAAAAAAAATGTTCGTTTCGAATGCGAAGTTAATCGATTAAAATTCAAGGGGTGACACGGCCGTAAAAACGAATTCCTCGTACTCTTTATTTCGCGAATTTTTTTCGGGTTACATTGTGGTATTAAAACGAGCTCCACTTAGAGCTGTAATAAACTTTTTTATTGCCGCAAATTCTAGCTATCTACTCGTTTCGAAACCGCGAAAAACGGCCGATTTCGCATTGAAAACAGGACCGGACTTTTACTTTTTCACTGGTATTTGTAAATTTCATAAACTGGCGTGCAGGCCGTAAATAAAATTTTTATAACGAAAGCGATACCGCGTACGTTTTGCGGTTTATTTTCGTGCATAAACAAACGGAATGTATTTTATATTCGGAGGAATCTCGTGGTTTATGCATTTAAAAAAAGTTTTACGGTCGACCGAAGTGCACCGGGGAATATATTAAAGAAAAATTCGGCGCGATCTCGAACGCGGAATTTTTTAATAATCCTTTCTTTGCGCAAAAGAATGTAGGTTATCGCTGTACTCTCGCGAAAATCGAAAAAAATCCCCGACGAATAATAATTGCAATCACGTTTCTCTTTAATTTTCAAACTCACCTTTATACAGCGACTCCTTCGAGGTACTCGTACGCTCGTTAATTTGCACGTTTGTTTGCATTTTTCCCCGCGAAATTTGATAGAGATCGAGGAACTTGACACATTAGAACTGTATATTAGAAATCTTCGAAGGCGGCATGATCGTTTAGCCTTAATTAGCGGGAAATTAAGCGATGAGATCGCGCCGACTGATTAATACACGCCGATGAAAATATGAATTTTTTTCCCTGTCATTTCGGCGGGTTGCAAAAATTGCTAAAGCGCGAACTCGAAGCTCTTAGTCTTTGCTCTTTACCCAGAAACTAAACGGCTCCATAAAAGTTAAGGAAGTTCGCAAATTTTGCGATTATTTTAAAAGTTTAAAAGACTTTTTGATCACCAAATTTTCAAATATGCGAAATTAAATGTTTTCTCTCATATCTGAGTGGATTTTTTGCCCCTACCTCTACAATTCATACTAAATTTGGCGAACAAAAAACCTGCAACTTTTAAATTAATCTCAATATTTGTGAACTTCCTTCGCTTTTGTGGAGCAGTATATTTATCGCGCAAGCAATGATATCTCCTATTTTTAATCTCTCCTACTTCATTATATATTTAAAAAAATTGCAATCAAAAACTGCCATTTATTTGTAATGCTATTTAAATGGCAAAACGTAATTCTAGTAAGACTCGAGTTTCCTCGAATGAATGTGTGAATAATTTTAGTAGGATGAAGAATACTTATTACAGAACAATGTCTTCTAGTTTATATTGATTCACAGGCTGTATTAAATTAAAAAAAACCAATTAAAGTATTTTAGCAAATGATGATCATAGATTCCTGTAAATTGATGTCGCCTGACATAAATGTCAAATCACAGAACAATTTTGTAAATTTGACAAACGACAGCGATGCCAGTAGTTTCCGTTTTTCAGATATATTTGAATAATTTGCAGTTTTTTAATGGCAGGTAATATAAAATAAGACATTTCCAGTGCACCGGGATGCAAATTGCAGGGAAAAGAATTGAATTTAAAATATTCTGAAAAGGATTTCTTATTTAACTTTCTTGTACGTTTGATTTTATGTCAAATATAATTAAACACGGAACATCTACTAGCGAGTTAAACTAATCTCATCTATTGTGGTAAAATTTTACCAAAAATATTTCTATATTACCTCGCGAATTATGAATTTGAGGGCGTGCTTTGGCGGTCTTAAGTTCGGAGTGAACCGACGCGTAAATAAAAACTAATTGTGCATTGTAATTGGCATTTAAACCGAAATCTAATGGCCTTTCTTTCCGACAGCGGAGTTTCCGATTCCAATTTTCCCAATCACACGCTCGGCTAATCGCTCCGAATAAATTACCCTTGCTCATATTAATATCCTCGATTTTTCCACTTCGCTTTTGTACCCGCGCATTAAATTAATTAGCTCATACGTTTGATAAAAATTAGTAAATTGAGGAACTCGGATATAACAAAGAAGGAGTTTATTCGAGCAACAAGTTCCACCGACGCGCGTAATGCTTTTATAAATATCTCGTAACGTTTCTAACGACCTAATTTCCGGCGCAATAAATTCGATTAACCGGATATTTCTGTTTAAAGTCCCCCGAAATACCTGTGGACTTGCACGCAACGAAGGATAAACGTTTATTCGACAATTATTATGATTTGAAAAGGGGCTCATGAACCGGGTAATTATTAATGTTTACCTGCCTGTAACGCCTCGATTTCCGCTACAGGGAAATTTTATTTTCTACCCGCGACAATGTGTGTGAAATTTGGCGAATTACAATTTTTTTTAGGTACAGACTCCGAGGTATAGCTGAACCATTCAAGCATGCGCAATCAGCAATTTGTGGCTAGCTTCTTTTAATATTTTCATCTTATTAACAGCCAATAACGAGGGAAATTTCATATTCTACCCACGACATATGTGTGTAAAATTTTTTGAATTACAATTTGTACCTAAGTACAGACTTAGAGGTATAGCTGAATCATCCAGCATGCGCAATGAGGAAATTGTAATAGCTTTTTTTAATATTTTTCATCTTATTAACATCCATTTTCTACTCGACATATTCTGTGTAAAATTTATCAAATAACAACTTTTATATGCACCTACAGATCTACAGATATAGCTGAATCATCAAAGGATACATGTGCAATGAGGAAATAAAAAAAATTGCGTTAATTTTCGTTGTGCACTCGTTTCTTTTTTAATTCCTTTTATCTCATTAACAGCCAATAACGAGAAGGT